ATCTGAGTTTATCACTTTTACAACATGTTTGCCACAGAAGCCAACTTTTTTTTCCATTTCCTCTTCTGCTAACCTTAATCTTACCTGTCACCCTGTCCAAGACTGTGGCTTGTTGCTTGTGTTACGATTAGGGAAAAAGTTATTTTCTGCATTAAATAGAGAAGCAGAAGTTGAGGGTCTGCTCTGTTACAGGAATAAAGTCCTTGACTCCGGTTGGAAAACCTGGAGGCAGGGTTCTGTTTTTCTTTTCTTTTTGGTAATTTTCTCCAGGAGTGCCCAGACTAAAAAAAAAAAAAAAAAAGTTGTGTGGGTCAGCAGCTTTGATGCTTATGTGGGTTAAAAATACAGCAGTTTCCTCTCTGCCATCCAGTCCCAGGTCTACTCTGCTAAGTTTGAAAAACTGTACACTGCAATCATGAGGATTCTTAGTCGAGTTTTTAAGCTCATTTTCTCATTTTATCTCCTTAATAGCTGCTGACACTTACATCAGATCCTGTAGTGTGTTGATCTGATTTTCCCTTCGTTTTAAAGCAGTTATTTGTATCTGTTTCCCGGAACTGCTGTTCCGCTGTTATTGTCTACATCTGGGTCCTGATTCTGTTGTTCTGCAAAGACCAGCTGTGACCGTCAGTTCCCTTCAGCTAAGGGTCTTTACTGGTCCAAACTTCTCCATCTATGGGGATCTCTACTGAGGACATGCTGTCCCTACTCAGGATACTCCATTGTATGTTGCTCCTGTGGTTTATGTTTTCTGTCAATCTTCTGTAATACTTGTGCATGTCAGAGCTTGCCAAAACCAAGACATGAGGGTGCTAATACTTGTTATTTTGATAGTCAAAGGCACTGTAAGGAGAGTTTGATTTGTCGAGAAACATACTGGAACTGATACTGATGCCTTTCCAGGACCTCGGAAAGCAAATGAGACCACCAGCAACAAGTCTAAACACTTCTCATTTGTAATTTTTGAAGCCTGAAACTGTTTTGAGGGGGTAGGTGTCAGACCAGATGATTGACAGAAGCCTAAAGGAAAAGACTTTTGATAATTTTGTCCCATAAAATTTCCCATTAAAGGGATATTCCAGCGTAAAATTAATTTAGGGTCAAACACACCGTAACACCGAGTTAGACACCCCCTCGAGAGATGGATGTTGCTGACCGCTTACTTCTCTAGTTATACCAACTTTAGTAAAGACCACGCAATAGCAATACACAGTTGTCTACATCTCCATGTGCAAACCTCAACCAAAAAGCCATCAAACATCTTTTCAGCTGTGCCTGGTCTCTTTAGCAAAGAGACCCAACACAACTCTCCTCCAGCAGCCACTTGTTTGTGGGGGAGCCCTGGCGAGTTGATCACTGAGTGCAGCAGATCATTTCCATGAGAAAATAATCATCATAATAATCATTTTGCACTGCAAACACAGTAGTTCTTCTGCCTTAGCTTCTCAGTCTGATTGCATTTCCACGAATTAACTAGAAAAGTACTCGGAGAGCGCAGACCTCCACCAAGCAGCTCACAGTATCCGGAATTTTGTCTGGATCAGGATCAACCTTTGACACCTCATAAAACTCATTGAGATCCTTTTGTGTAATTTTTTACTAAAGACTCTGTCCATTTTTATAGAGTTAAATGCAAAAATTCCAAAATCTCACGATGATAAAGAATCCTTCGAAAAAATTCCTGGATCCAGAAGGCGATCCGGATCACCACCAAAATGTAATGGGATCCTCCTGGGGCTGAGACGCACCCCTGGTGAAAATTTCAGGTCAATCCATCGGTAACGTTCTCCTTAAAGTTGCTAACAGACAAACAAACAAACAAACAAACAAACAAACAAACAAACAAACAAACCCACGCTACCAAAAACATAACCTCCTTGGCGGAGGTAATAATCACAAATGTTTTTCCTTGAGCTGAGAAACTCCGCTGCACTCAGTGATCAACTTGTCAGGGCTCCCCAAGACAACAGGATGAGATTTTTGTCCGAAAGAAAAAAAAAAGAAAAATCTTTAAAAAACAAAAAAAAAAAAACACCTCCCCTTGAACAATACAATTGATTAGAGGTATCACTTAGTCCACTGGGAATGCCAACATTGGCACAATCTAAAAGTTCCTTACAGTAGCTTTAAATCATGATAAACTCCGCTGTGAGGGAGAGGGAGAACACAACAGATAGGGAGACAAAATGCATGTGAAAATGGACATACAGTATGCACAGACGTGGAACAGAAACAGGACATGATCACAGAGAAAAAAACGCTTTGTTTGGAAGTGCATTTCTGCTGCATGATGTTCATACAGCATGCAATGCTAGAAGTGCGGTTAAAAACAGTGTATTGATTTTGTGTGACAGCTTATCTCGAAACAGTAAACTTTGTACACTGTTAAAAAAAAACTCAAAATTTCAAGGCAAATTACTGCACTATATTTTGGGGTTTTGATAGCACCTCAATTAAGTTTTGAAGAAAAGTTGAGGCAACAAACAGTCCATAGTCGAAGTAACTTTGATTTTTAAGTTCTAGATTGCACAGGATCTCATCACACCCCTCACGTTAACACTTTCACTCTCTGTCAGAGGATCGTAAAACCAACCGTTTATATTTGCATGTCCTGGAAAATCATAAGCCATACTTTCGCTGGCCTCCTATTCACTCATCCATTCATTTATTAATGCACATACACACACATGCACTCATTCATTCTCTAATTTATCCATGTCCTGACTCATGTATTCGTTCCCCAGCTTTTTTGTATCTTGGTGTTATTGCTGAAGAAACCCACAGCCCATAAATCCATGAGTCAGCCACAGCCCATCTGCTCTTACATAACGGTCCCACAATGCAACAGTGTCGGGTGCCTCAGTCTGCTGCCTTGATCCTCCATACATAAAAGATGAAAACCGGTTTGAATTCCAACTCTTTTGCCATAAAGAAAAAAGATGAACAGACCGTAACATATTCACACAATATGCTTGTTTACTACGGGCTCTGTTCAGGGTTCAGTTCAAAAGGAATCGGATCAGTCAGGGTGGAGGCGCCATGTGTCAAACCATGTGTCAAAACTCCCAGCAGGCTTTTTGTTTTCACATCAGGTGCACATGGCTGCAGAAACTTTTGGGGCCCAGACGCCGTAAAGGCTGACACACAACACATCTGTAGTTTCTGTGACGCACCACACGCACATGGACTCAGGACTGTAGAGAAGAGGCTGAGCTCTGAAAACAAACACAACTTGACCTGACGGCTGGACTGAACCAAATTTAGAAAAGCTGAAATCTTTCATAACATTTATCAGGGTGTTTCTGCCAAACAGCAACCAGAAAAATCTGGTGATGGACCCATTAAGCATTTTATTCATCTTGTTGCGACACATCCTCCCTTTCACATTTGTTGTGTCTTTGTGTAAAACCAGAAAAAAGTTGTAGACTTTGAATCTGGAAGCTGAACAGGAACAAAAAGATTCTAAAACTGTCTCCAAGGATTTTCCAGGACCTGCAGCAACACTGAAGCCAATTTTAGGAAACCAGACGGGGAGTTCACGGTCTCAACTCTACCAGGAAACCACACACTTACACACACACACTCACGCACACACACACTGATCTGCAGCATCAAGAGCCCTCCAGTTTCTTTATGTTCACTTGTTGGCCTGCAGCCTGGATCCTGTTTCTCACTAATTATGGACAGAAGTTAAATTGTAGCAGTAATGCACTCTGTAGGGCCACAGTCAAGACAGATTAATCACAGCACAGCTTCCTTTCAGAACTGTCAAAATAAAAGTCCCATGACTTAAGACTGGTTTAAAAAAGTACACAATAGATGAAGCACTTGTCAGATTTAAAAAAAAGGGGCTGTCAAATTATTACTTTTTAAAAGTCGTCAATCACATCATTTCAATAGGCTAGTTAATTGTGATAAACCACATCCTCAATCACATGATAAAATCACATCCTTTTGTTTGTATAAGCAGCTCTTAAGTCTGTATGACATGTAAAGCCATTCAGTTCTTTGACATAAATGCTGCACTGCCACACTTTATGGTCTCAAACCATGACCAGGTGCTCATTCTGTCAAATATGGGGAATTAAAAATATCCAATCAGTGTTAATGTAATGTGCAGTTATTTAAAGATATTTTTGATGATTTACTGATATCCAGTGACCTTCTGGTTAGTGAAACACCACTTGCACTATTCAGGAGTTCCATTTTGGTTGCTTTGCTCATCCAGGTCCCATATCCATGAAAGTATTGTCCTCCCTGTTGATAATGCCAAAACATGTCATAATGAGGACATTTTTTTTTTTTTTAATTTTGTGTAATCCACAGGTCTGCGGTTATTCACATACTCAAAATAGTGCTATGCTGGCCCTTGTGATTTGGTTGCCGGACTTCAGTCTTGTTGGCTGCACCTGCATGCTGAACTGATAGGTTGTACCTCAAACTTAAAACAGTTAAGTGAGATTTTAATTCCATTTGACAGAAAGACTACATGCATGTGAAGTCTTGCAGGAGCAAGAAGATGCTGCAGTGTATGACAGTGGAAATCAGACCATGTTATTGATAAAAGTCAGCCCTGAATCACATAACAATCAATGCTTTTGTGAAGAAAGTCCCAATAATTATTAACAAGATTCACTGGTTAAAATGAATAGTTAATATATATGGCTATATCGAGCGTTTATGTAGCTACTTTATGAACAGTTATGATTAGCGTTTAGTCAAATTGTTAGATTTTTGTCAAATAATCATTTGACAATGATTATTTGTCATTTTCATTATTACACTTTTATATTTTTACTTTGTTTTTACTGAACCCCTGTCAAAGATTCTGCATGTTTGGCATCATGACTGTCAAAATTTGTTTTGTTCAGCTCAGTGTCCTCAGAAATAGGCCTACTGGTTTTTCATGTCTACTAATTTCTTGCACCTTTATTCTGAATCCACATCAACCTTATTTCCCGTTATTTTCCCCCCTCTCTCTCTCTCTCTCTCTCTCTCTCAGTTTGTGTTTTGCTGCTGTCTCCAGGCTCTGCTCTCCAGGCGCCTCCCCCTTCTCCTCCTCCTCCAAACATGGCGCTGACCCGCAGCTTTGCTGCTTCCCCGACAGACGACGTAGAGAGGGACAGACGAAGGAGAAGAAGAAGCGCGAAGAAACTCACCTTAAATGTGTTTTAACAATCTTTTGAAACGAACGCAGCTTAACGCCCTGTCAGACTAACACCGGAGACTTTTCGCGCTGTTTTCGGAAACGTGGACGCGTCAGGCAGTGCGCGTACCGGAGAGCCCACCTGTTTGACGAAGGTAGATTCCACTCCGTGTCTCCTAGGATGTGAATCTCCCTGATTAGTGTGAAGTAACGGATCAGTCTGAGTCTGAAGGGTAACTCGGGGTCAGGGCTGGCTCTGATAAAAACATGTGCAGCCCTTTGATGAGCAGAAACTCAGAGGCTGAGGAAGACTGAAGCTTTCCAAGGAAAAAACAACTTTTTCCACTCTTCCACGCCGAGAGGATGGATGGAGAACATTTTGCGCTGTCAGGAGTTGAGAGGGAAAGAGCGAAGCTTCCACCAATTTTCAACAGCTCCCCTCCTACTGTAAGAAAACTATTTTTGTTCTCACCTTTTCTCTTTTTTCCTCATTTTGGTGCAGAAATTTTTATTTAATATCAAGTCAGGGCAAAAGTGAGGGAGTTATAAGTCATTAATCAATTTGTCCCTTTTTATTTCAATTGAAACTACAGTATATTGTATTTAGAGTCATGATATAATAAAAACAGAACCAGTGTTACTAAATACAGCTGTAGACTCCAAGTTGAGTTTATTTAGGGCATTATTTATTGAAGGTGGGATCATTTGCAAGAATAGAGAATGATGCAACAGGCAAATGTGTGAGGATCATTTAATATATATGTATATATATACATATATATATATATATATATATGTACTGTATGTATGTATGTATATATATATATATATATATAGAGCCTTGGAGACAGTAATTCCTCTAAACACAATACAGTTTTTAGAATATACTATTACACAGAATAAGGGCAATTTATTTCATTGTTAAATTTCATCACATCGTGTTGTGCAGTAACCTAGACTGTGAACCCTAAAAATGTCCTTATGCATGTAATGATATAAAGTACATTTCTGCATGTCTCACTCTGAATTTACATCATTTAGTTTTGCACATTGTACGATGACAAACTTCATCCTGAAACATCAAAGAGCCTCACACAGCATCTTGTGTTGAAATTATCACGCAAATGTTGTTCTTTATATTAAGGAGTTTGTGGTGTCAGCTATGGCTTGCAGCAAGATTTGGAGGGAAGATGCAAAAAAAAAAAAACTGACATTGAAAACAAAAAAGCACAACATACGCGGCAGTCACTTACACTGACTTTGCATACAGTGCACATAAAGTGACAGCACTTGTAGAAAACCATGATTTTCTGCATTTGGAAAAAGTGATGCCCCTGTCTTACATAATGAGCCCTGACATCAGCTCTGCAGCGGCGTCTGATGTAATCGTCGTGTTTTTGAATGCATAGCAGGGAGCTGAGTGTTGCACTGCTGGATTTTTATTGCTGGCTTTTAAGTTTCATTTCTTGGGTGTCACTTTTTGAGCAGACTGGTAGGGTTGCAGCCTGGTCGGTTGATGTCATCCCCATTGTGTCAGGGAGCAGGAATGTGCAGATCAGATGGTTTTAACCAATAAACGGTCTGTCATTGCTCAGACCCACTCTGGATGTGTCTGGAAATGCCATAAAGTGGCTGCATACGTTCTCTCAGTCAGACAGATTCTGTGATCTCTCATCAGAAGTCCTCCAGCCCCTCGAGCCTGCATCTGAGGAAATTCAGGCTCAAAGGTTGGATAAAAAAGGGCTTGGATTCAGCAGGCTGTCATTGTAGCGCAGACCAATAAAAACAGAAGAATTGAAGACAGCTGGTGCTCACCGAAGAGGGAAGTTTGTTTTTACCTGAACAGAGCTGCTGTTTGTGGAGGATGCCTCAGGGCTTCCAGAAACTCAATTTGCTCAATAAGATTTTCTGCAGACCTCCGAGAAATGGACCAAAAAGATGTTCAAGTTATTGAAGATTCATCTGAAAGAAAGAACTTACATTAAAAAAGTGATTAATACTGCGATTTTAGATGCTGATTTAAATCTCCCAATATAACCTAGAGCTCAACATTTGATGTCAACAGGTGTCTGATGACGGTGTTAGCCTGACATCTGAGCTGTAGGAACATGAATCCTGAATTACAGATGTGAATAGCACCAAAGTGGAGTGGTCGTCACTTCTTTAACTATCTGCTCCATTTCAAAGTCCAATCCATAAAGCATCTCACAATAATGCTATTTAAGAGAAAAAAATGCCTCTAAAGTTTTGTAACTTTACAAAGTTTGCTTTTGTTTTATGTCTGGTTGCAGAGACTAGCCGTCAACATCCCCTCTCTCTGCTGCACAAAGCCGTGCTACGCGCTCTCATCCCCAAAAGCTCAGATTTCTTCACGTATAGCTGACTGCTCGTCTTCCAACATCGGTACATTAGTGGTTAGTGCTTCACACAGACTTGCTCATCAACTACTGCTCAGTTTGATGTTTTATAAAGAACTACAGAAGATAAAACTTAAGCCGAAATGTTTAAGTTTGGGGAATATGAAGCGAGTTAAGTTTTGTTTGCGGTGTAAAAATCACCAGAATTGAATTGATTCGAGAAGATAGCCGTAAAGTTTTCTTACTGTTCACAAAAGCTGAATAAATACCGCCAGCAATGATTGATGTGAACACGCAGTCTCACAAAATGTTCAAAATCTGATTATAGATTAACAGCTGAAAGGAGAGCCGATGTGTGTATGTGAGCGAGAGAAAGAGAGAGGGAGAGTGTGTGACATGGTCCTTATGAGCTCTTCCCGGTGTGGTTTTTCTCTGGATGACAGCATTTCCTCTCAGTCTGAATGACTGAGCGAAGTTGGACAAAACTGACATCACAAGACTCACAGAAACAAAAAACTGCAGCAGAAACAGCTAATTGTTGTCAGATGTGAAGCGGGACAAAGACACTGCTCATTGGCTGAAGAAAAACTACCAGAAATAGATGTCAAGTGCCTTTTTGACTCTATAGAAACCAAAATAAAGCTGATTTGGATTTTCTCATTCTCGGTTACTGTGGTGTCACCGCTCTGAGTTTCCCAGAGATCACCTGTCAGTTAGCCTTTGAGGGTGGGGCTTTGGCATCCGTAATGAAAGAGTGAGGAGCTGGTATAGGGAGTGATGTGGCTGCTCTGTGGCTTCACCGAGAAAGGAGTGTAATCATGCTCACACAAGTTAAAGGTGCAGGGATGAAGCAAACAAACATTACACAAATGTGGGTCTCCAGCCATGCTAGCAGGACTGAGTCAGCGTTTTTTTTGGTAGAGTGGTGCTTGGAGCTCCGTCCTTGAAATCTTTGACTGGATCATAGTCAGTATATCTAAAACTTGAGCTAAGAAGCCATTAAAACCAAAGAGAGCTTAAATTGATCCAAATCTTATCAGCTTGGGATCATAAATAAGCATAAAATTCTGCTCTGGTGATGACCCTAGATTGAAAAAAAAGACTTAGCACTCGGGCTGCAATCAACCAAACCCTGAAGGCAAGTTGAAACACTCAAAATAAAAACAAATATTCAGCAAACCACGGGACGTTCATTAACGTGGGCGCTCTTCAATCTTCCTGTCTCCAGCCGGTCTCCAGTGGGTTGTGCAAATCCAAAAGGGTGAAAGCAAGGGGGATGTTCTGTGACAGGCTGTTACCTGTGAAACGGGGATGCTCTGAAAACACCCCCGTTAGCACTTAGTATGTTCCTCCTGATGAAATTAACCATAGACTGTAAATTGATGCGGAAAAAATTGAGTTGACTTAGCACGCATCGACCATAAAGACTCCAACAACAGGCAACTGGACTGTGTAGAGTTGAGATGACGTTTGGCCTCTTATCCAAGAAGCTTCTTCAGTTCTAAAGTTCGTTATTTGTCCCCTTTCTTCAGTAAGATGAATATCTGCTCCTCACACTAGCAATAATTAGAACTGAAGAAGCTTCTTGGATAAGAGGCGAAACGTCTTCTCAACTCTACACAGTCCAATTACCTGTTTTTGGAGTCTTCAAGAAAACCATGACCTGGATGAATGAGAATCTACATGGACACGTATTGACCAATAAGTCGACCAGTCGACTAGGACTTTATAGCCCTATGTTAGCACAGTATTGTGTAGTTTTTTCAGTTTTTCAGCACTGTTGGTTCCAGATGGTACTTGTCTTTCAAAAATGTACCCACTGATTTCTAGAAATGCTGAAAAAGACTAAACGTGGTGGTCAGCGTTTTTGTAAAACAGGTTTTTAATGAACTTTAGGGACTGGCAGAGAGGAAATGGTGAGGCAGGTGTTTGCCATCCTGACTAACAGCTCCAGTGAGCCCACCTTTAACTTCGCCTTAGTTAGCATGATTCATCCCCACATAAAACATATGGAGATGAAATCATGCATTATTTTGCTCCAGGCTGCGAACATGATGAGATCTATATTCAAACATTGATCTTTCAAACATGGGGTTTCCTTGGCTTTTGTCTGCCATGTTTTGTACACGTAAGCCTTGGTGTCACTCAGTGAGCCACTTGTCACTCGCCACTTGTGGATGAGTCATCCTGTTACGAGGTCAATCTGATTGGTTGCAGGAACAGAGCAATCACAGTATATGGTGAGAGCAACAGAAGCCAGGATAGGAAGTGAATTAGTTCTCTCTGGACAATTGTCAAACCACCAGGTAAATCAATTTAATCACTGTAATTTTCCATTTTCTATCAGACTTTTCTTACAGTAGGACAAGTTTTCTAAGTAATCCAGTTGAGGTTGTTTTAAAAATGGTCGGCATTGTGTTGTTGTAATCCTTTTGCTTTCAGTTCTTCGTGTGGAGATCTCTAACTACTGGCATTGTCTGGTGAGAATTTTGATTTTAGTTTTTTTTACTTCATATGCAGAAGCAGATTGTTTTATTTATTTTAATATCATACAATTCAGTGATGTTCTGGTGCAACTTATTGGCCAAAACACAAAATTAAAGGAAGCACATAGTTCCTATGTAGCCCTGAGTTTATGGATGTGTGTTCATTATGACATTTTCTTTAGAGATAATGTTAGACGTAAACTGAACTTTGACGGTTTCACTCTTTGGAAGCTGTAAATGTAAAAAAAATAGGGGTGTCCCGATACAATTGTTTTAACTTCTGATACTGATATTGTAGCCTTCAGTATCGGCGGTTACCGATATTGGCACAAACTTGTGCAGGACAAGTTTTTCACTCAGCTGCGATGTCTTTTTTGGACTTTAATGAAAAAATACTGCCACACAGCTGACATCACTGTTGATCACATGGGCTCTGCATGCTGGATCCGAGCACTACTAGATAGAGGTGCCGGAGTGGAGTCTGGAATGGACTGCTTGTATCGGGGTGTTGATATCGGAGATTTAAGATGCAGGCCAATATAATCCGATATTTGATTTTTGGCTGATATTGGACGGATATCCGATATCAATATCTTATCGGGATAGCCCTATTTTATATTGTGTTTACCACATGGTTCTATGATTTATATTGTAATTCCAGTCAGCTGACGGACTAACTGTTTTGGATCACAACCCTAACTCCAGTTTTCTGTCAAGTTTAAATCGTATTACAACGATTTCACATGATCGATAGCTCAGGAGTGAAGCTGCGTTGACAGAAACAGATGAGGTCTTCTTGTGGACTTGATATGAATTTCCTGTTGATGTCTCACATTTTCATCCCTCTGAATTCAGTGGATCTGTCTTACGTTGTTGTAATGCAATCACTCGGCTTTGTGCACGGCTCAGTCAGAGCTCGAACTGTTTGATCTGCTCTGAATGAATCTGGTTACCACTCATGCAAAGTGGATGCGTGTGTGATGTGTTTACACTCCTTTGAAAATGAACAGGATTTTGTTGCATCAGAGAAAACCTGTTGTTGGTTTTATGTTTGATGTTAATGTGCAATCCAAGAGAAAGTGACAGAGGGATGTGCTGACAGACGTGTGCTGTCTTTATCTTCATTAGCCAGATCTCCCTTTAAGTGAGGCCTGTAATTGCATTGCTGCTGGAGTTTGTTGTATAAGTGTGTGTGTATGTGTGTATTTGCTGTCAGGAACGGCTGCTGTGCATCTGTTGATCTTTCCACCTCCACTTCTTCTCCTGCCTCACTTGAATTTCCTCCATCGCTTCCCCTCACTTTCAAATATCCTTCTGGTCCATCTGCCTGTCTTGTTTTACAGTTCCCCCCCTCTTTGTCACACTTTATTTCCTTTCTTGTCCCTCTCTCGTTCCTCTTTTCCTGCTTTCTCTCCATTATTCACCTTCTTATGTTCCTTTTCTGGTCACTTCTCTTATCCTTTTTCCATTCCTATCTTCCTCTTTTCCCCTGCTAATCTCTTATCCTCTCTTTCTTTCAGTCCACATCCCTTTTTTCCGACCTCACCTAACCTCATCTCCTCTTTTTCTTTTGTCCTGTTTCTATTCCCTGCCCCCATGTTTGAATCCCCTCTTCTCCTCCATCTCTTCAGGTCCTTCACTTGCACTTGTAGCTCTTGTGCTGCTTGCAGGGGCTTTGTGTCAGTGAGTGAATATTTAATCTGTTCGGTTCAGTTTTGGTTTGATACTTAATTTATTATTCTGTCTTAAAGTCTGGATGATGTATGAAGTTTTCCAATTTGGTTAGAGACCTCAACATGTGCCAGTTTAATACATCACTTATAGATGCGTATAATCTGGACATAAGGCATGATAAGGCTTTAAAGTCTGCAGGTCAGTGCTCTTCTCCACATGCCTAAGTAGTGTCGGTTGAAAAAACCTCCCATCCTGCTGACTTTTGACAGTTAAATGTGTAATTTCTTAGTAGCCCCTTGCACTCCTTGCAGACATTAAAAAATGACAACATTTGAATTGCCAATCTGGTTCCTGATGGCCTTGTTTGCTGTTGAATAACATGAAAAGGCATCAACATGAATTCCAGTCTATTTAAGAAATGTCAAAAACATACAGGAGCTTTAATCTTGACTTTAACCTCTTTTTTTCCCTCTATGAGAGGTTTAGTGTCTTTTTTTTTCCTCTGAGTTTCTTCAACTCACATGACAGAGCTGAAATGCTTTTTCTCTTCTCTTTGTGCTGATGATGTTACCTCTCTGCATTAGGGTTTTGGACGAGGGGCGAAGCAGCCGTTTCCATCTCTGGGCACCTTTATCAACACATTGAGCCAGAGAAGGGATACGGTGGGCCGCAACATGACGGGGACCCTGACCAGCACCCAGTGGCTTAAACACGGTGAGTTCAAGTTCAGTGGAATCCATCCTGTGGGTTAGCATTTTTATGATGGGTGAGCTTGATTGAATTTTTTTTCTCTATAACCCCGTTTTGCATGACTCCTGAATGCACAAAGTCCATAATCCACATGGCTCCTGAATTTACCTCCACATAAATCATCTCAAAGCAAATGTTTCCAGTAAAGCTTCTTGTTTTCAGTGTGGTGCGTTCACTGTCTCACGGTCTTAGTTCTCCGAGACACTGCGGTCTGCATCTCTGTCTGGGATGTAATGATGTGTTACTTCCTCTGTTTACACTACGCTCGATGTATGTACTCAGACTCTGTTTATGTTGAGCTGTTAGCAACGACTGTGGAGCAGCAACTCACGTCTCCACAGAGGAGGGTTTTCAGAGAAGAGGGAAGATAGTCCCGTAGTTTCAGGGACTCTTCAGATCACAGGTGGTGCCATAATATATATGAAGTTTATTTGAAACAAGAGCTTAAAATGAAAAAGTAAAAAAATTACCTGAATGTTCCAATAAAAACGTAAACTAGCTTATATTTTATTAAATACATAATCATTCAGGTCTACGGGGGAAAAAGCAGTTTCTAAATAGAGATGTGTTAAAGATCATAATCCTGTGTCAGTTTTTGAAGCTGATGCAATAGTTTCTCCTTCTCAACATTAAAGAGGATGTTGCTTCCTGTAAAAAAAAAAAAAAGTTATTTCTGACTGCCGTGAGAACACAGACCCGGCATACTCACCAGCCTGCTTTGTCACCACGGCTACTGATGCCAGAATAATTATGCAAACCTCCGCCCCAAATGAAAACCATATGAAAGCGAAAACACACACAGAAGATAGCGTAACATTCCTCTGGACCATTACAGTCGCCCCGGCCCGCTGGATAATCACCACAATTTGCTTTTTCATCTGTTAAGTATTACATGGGGTGTGTATTTCCTTTTAATATTGTCAAATATGGTTTTGTGTGCAGAGCTGAGGGAGGACCCATCAGAGGTTTATTCCAGGACCTCAAAACAATGACACCTTTTCTGAAAACACTGGTATTTAAGGCCTGGCTTGTTTGGAAAAAAATATTCAAAACTTAATGGATTGCAGTTGGGATACAGGAGGTTGTGCAGTTGTGTGTCAAGCTGCTCATTACACAAGGTGCTTCGCTGTAATCAGTGAGTTTAAGGTGACATAACACACATCTCGTTATGATTATTTACCGAGCAGCTGTTCAGCTTTTTGTAAAAGTACGATGAGCATGTGCTAGTTAATCCATTATAGATGGCGATCCTAATGAATATATAATTAAAAAAAAAAAAAACGTGTGGATAGTCAGTAAACAAAGACCATCCATCCATCTGACCTCAACAGGAACAATGACATGAATGAACAGAGGAGTACTTGATGACACTTGAGGGGATAGTCCTCTCACCACTTGTCAAAAACAAAACCCAGAGGCTTTGTCGTGACAGACCTACACAGAAAGCAAGAAGCGATGAGGGACGAGGATGTACTTGGAGGTCTTGAAGGTGACTCTTTTGATTAACGGGTGTCATGACGACCTAAGTTTGTTGTTGTTGTCAGGACTAAATTGGGTGACGCACAAGCTGACAAAGCAGTGGTAATTGGGCACAGTGATGGAAGGGTGAGGGTAAAGAGCGGGTTCTTCCCTTTACATCATCAGCCTCCCATCTGCTTTTATTGACTAAATAACTAATTAATGCAGTTAACTGATTGGTTGCTATGAAACATCCTCGATAGTTATGGTCCCCAGAGGATGAGTCATATAGTCTCGGATGATTCTCTAACTCCTGTTGTTGCATCAATGTTGTTGACATTCATGGTTCGATTTGAGGATGAATCCTGTTTTGAGAACAGAAAAAATGTAATAGTCATAAGTATGGACTTCTTTTCAAGACTACTGTGTTGGATCAATACCATTATTGAAGGACTATATTGGAACAAAATGACATTTGCACATTAACCCCTATTTTTAACATCTGCTTTTATAAAACTCAAACTTTATTTATAGAGCACATTTAAAACAACTGGGGTTGACCAAAGTGCTGTACAGATTAAAAGCAGCAGGGATTATAAAAGTGCAATTACAATAAATAAAATGACATAAAACACAATGCTATAAAATGGAATTTAAAAAATAGAAATAAAAAAAAGATTATCTTAGTCTGATTTATGAAACTTGTCTGTAAATAGTACAAAAAATGAAACTTTCTAACAGCATTTTGCTCTAAAAAGAAGAAACATTTTGATTCCTGTAAAACTCTACTTACATGGTAATTTATGCCTGTGTCACCCCTGTATTGAAGTCCCTTTTATCTCCTGCTTGTCCGTGCCAACAGAATGAGCCCCCACAATGCACCTGGACTGACCCGCTGGTAACCATTGTTACTGTGGAAACAGATACAAAAGCAGGCTAATTATAACCAAAATTTATGGATGGTCAGAAGTGTGGGAGGATAGGTGAACATGTGTATCTGTGTGATTGAAGTGCAGGGCTGTCAGTTGTGTTTGTTAGTCATCTCTTTCTGTCTCTCAGTCTGTCTCTCTACTCTCTCCTTTATTCTTTTTATTTTCTCATTGAATATTCCCGGAAAAATATTAAAATCTCTGTCATTTTGTTTACTGTTGTTATTCATTGCTTCTTTGGGCTTTGGTTGAAATCCTCCTCTATTAAATTCACATGAAACAAAAGATTGATTCATCCTCTAAAACCCAGTGAGAGTGAAACCCTTTAGTGCTTGAAGGATGAAAAATGCATGACTAAAATGACAGTGGGCAGACATCATCTTTCAAAGGGCACTTAAAGATTTCTAAATCATTGCAGTGACTCTCATGAATGTTGAAATGAAGGATGATGTTCCAATTCAGGTTTGATGCAAACTTTTTTGTGACTCTAGAGAATCAGGGGGTTGTTGTTTTATACCCTGTTTTACTTTGATTTGGAGCCTAAAACGTGAACTAATTTTAATGCCATCACTTCCTTATTCTTGACAAACAGGCCTGTAGGGAAAAAAAGCTGTTTTACTTCATCAAATTATTTCGGTGGTAAAAATGGAAAAAACACCATTGAGAGGTTTTCCAGGATTATTTCTTTCTCTTAGCGTTGAGTGTGTTAGTACTTGAGACATATTTTCGCAATGACTTTAGATTACACTCTGAGATTTAATAAACCACATTGGTCTTTGTTACACTGTAGTTTCTCCTCCTGTTAGAGAGATCACTGGATTTTTATTGTACCTGAAAGTTTCTGCACAAAAGTTAAGTGAAGAAAGGTTAAAAAAAAGGATTTTAGAAAAAACAAATGACCAAAGAGTCCTTGAGGATCCTGTCAATGCTGCCTGGCCTTGAGCGGATGTTTCTGTGATGACACTCCCCCTTCTCGAGCAGGTGCTTCCTCTGTTCTGGTAACAATGACGAGGAACATGCAGCTCTGACTGCGCCTCAAAGGGAAAGGACTGACTATTTTATATTTTTCCTCCAGCTGATATTCTCATCCAAAGTTATTCTATCACATATTAAGGATATTGTTTTATTATAAGCATCTACTAAGTTACTGTTTGAGAGCCGTTCTAACTTAGAGCTAAGCTTAGATTTTCAAGAGGACTGTTTTATGACATCTATTTGAATAGATTTGGATCATTAAAAAAGAGCAGTTATTAAAGTCAGAGGGCTCTATTTTCATGGCGCAGGTGCGGCGTAAGTCAGGTCCGCCGCGCCGACAAGGCGTAGAGAGGGCAGGGAGTGGGTTTAACACAGCCTAGACCTGTTTTCGCCAATCAGGACCGCTCCTCTCCTTGCCTTTAAAACTGCCACCGGCGAGGCTTGTACAGTTTTCGTGAAGTAGTCAAAGAAATCAAGAGATGTCTAAAGACAGTAATGCCACACGATGGCGACTGAAGGCAGCTCCTCAACAAATGTCGCTGTAAACGCTGCAGGGGGCATCCTGCACACTGTCTCATATAAGTACAGATGGATTTAGTGTGTGTAATGTTGGACTCACTGGTAAGACAAACACCCTTTTCCACAAATAAAGACACTCACATAAAGTTGCATAAATTCAAACCTCACGTGACAAAGGTGGGTTGAGCGCACAGATCACAACATAAATTCCAATAATGGCATTAAAATCGGAACCATCTGTGCGTAAATGATGCATCGCGCTCCGTGGTCTTGCTCTTTCTTTCATAGATGTTGGCATATGAAATAAATTTGACTCACAAAACTGAATATTATAATATCCGTATGTCGGCTTAAAGTAAATAACTCATCTGATCACTGAAACAAATCATCTGTTCAGCCGCAGCAGCAGCTGCAGCAGCACGGAAAGAGGACACGGAGACATGTCCAGGTCGAGCTGCACGAGAAATAAGAGGAAGAGGAAGAAAGAAAAGGAGGGAGACAAATTACATATCTAGTTAACTTCATCATGTGTGTTTATTTACTAGATATTTAATTTAATGCGGTTTCAGCTGTGTTGATTCGGTCAGGTTGTGTGTCCAAACATGTGCCAAACGCGCTCACAGCCACAAACCAATTTGGCGTTGTGACCAAAGACTGCATATACTATTCACAACTTGGGTCCGCCTTCCCCCAGTATATGGATTTGAAGCCGAAAATCTCTCAGTAATTCAGTGTTTTTTCTCCACTCCTGGAAACCAACATTGTGCAGTTGTGCGGGTGAGCTTGCAATCTTCGTACGCCCATAGGTCGTTTCAAGTGTCAATTGTAGAAAACATGAACCCCCTAATAACTTTTAATAATTGGAGCTGTACAGAAAAAAAGAGGACTTGAGCACAAACCAGTCCAAAAATAACAACATGTCAACATCGCAACCAAGGGGGACACGTCGTCCATTTTATTTACAGTCTATGGTTGTGACCTCTAATCTTTGGGATCTTGTGTTTAGCCATGTTAAGTAAATTATCTAAATGTTGAGGAAGTTTGTCACTTCTCATGGTTATTCTTTGTGTCTCTCACTCAGGACGAGAGCTACCTCCGATCTGCGATGTCCGTCAAAAGCAGCGACTCTCCATCGACACTCTCCCCCCAGAAGTCAAGGCTCCGTTCCCATGTGACCCCATCATCCCCCTGCGTACCAAGACCACCAAGGAGTTTCAGTGAGTTTACAGTCTCTAAACTTGAACCCACAACGGTAAAGGCTTCCCTCACTTCAGAGGAGAAATCCATCTGGCCTCTGCTGCCAGAAAATACTTACAAAATAGTATTTATAGTGTACTCCTGGCCAGGTTTGTCTTTTTTCATCATTTTATGTTTTGTGTGTTGCCAGGGAGGACATGGAGCATGCTGTCCAAACAGGTGACTGGAGAGAGGTCCGAGAGTTTTACCTGACCACATTCGAGTCCTTCATAGAAATCAACGCTGCCTTCAAGGTAAAACACACACACACTTTCTGGCTCTCAGAAGAGTGCCTGTTGTGAGGAAAGTCTTTTAGATGCTGTTAAAATTTTCCCAGACGCCATAACCTCTTTACGATGGGAAAGCTTTTTTTTCTGTGCTGTTTTCCCTTTTTTGTGTTGTTTTCCCTACATACTAACTTTACTCTTGTCTTCCTTTTCTTCTCTCTAATTTTCTCTCTCCTTCCTAATCAAGAGAGAGGCGAACGGATCATTTAACACCATAGATGACTCAGGAGTCAACGCCAAGTTTGTCAACGCTGTTTACGATGCACTGCTTAGCACAGTAAGCATGGGACGACAGTACCACACCTACAGACAAATACACACACAAGATAAATGACCAACATCAAAGGTGCTCACATATTGATATTACACATTTGAGAATCTATTGACATCTATTAGGTCTGATAAATTATCATACTATACAAAATAAAGGTTTTAACACTTCCTCATACCATTTTATATCTACAGAAGTTGAAGAATTGAGCAGGAGCAGGTTTCTCAGGAAGTGTTAATTTGTAGAATCAGCTGGTCTGAGTTGTGTTGTGCTGAATGCAAACAAATTAACCCTGAACTCTGCAGGATACTAGTATCACTTTTTTCATCTTTGAATGGAAAGGGTTTTTGTTTTTCCCCTCTGAATTGGGGATGTTTGAGGTACCAGTCAGTAAAAAGTGACTCACCCACAGGGGATTTAAGTTGGAAGGAAAAGAGTTTGTTTCTTCCAGATAGTTTCTGTGTTGTTGTTGCAGACTTGAGATCGATATCTCAGCCTGTCAGTAGAAAAAACAAACTCTCATAGTAAACAAATTTTGATCGTGATGATTTGTAAGAATTCATCACTGTATTCAAAACTTTTAGTAGCTGTTCTACTTTTACAATGATTAAATTGGTTTAAGGTGTCAAAATGTAGCAAACCCCTTTGGCATGGCATGTTTAAAAAATTGTGATGAAGAGCACCAGAGATTTCAAAATATGTCATTTATCATGATATGACGCTTGTATACCTTTATATACAGTACATGCTATAAAACTGAATATACTGAGTGTGACTTTATGAGGTGGCTGGAGATGCTGATTAATGGCGTCCGGTAACACACCAACAAACAAACAAAACAAACAAAAACAAACCTTAAAGCTATATTATTGTTGTGACTGTGTCCTCTTTTTTTGTTCTTTTTGGTCTGAGGAGTGTCTGTTCAACCCTCTGATTTTTTTCTTTGGTCTTCTTAATATCTGAAGCCTCAGGACATCCAGAAGTCAGTGTTGAAAGGGATCATCAACAGCCTGCTGAGGGAGTGGAAAGGGTGAGAAAACTTCATTTTCAAGTTTGACCGGTTGAATCTGAGGCAATTTTTGTAATTACATCTGTACTGAGGACACACAAAGAAAATATACTTGTGGAAAAGATTTATGTTCTGTCTTTGCCGCTATCACCAACTTGACCTGCTTTGTTAAAAAAAGGTTTGTTTTTTTAAATGTTTTATTTGAATTGTTGTCTGTTTTTAGGCCTCGGACAAAGGATGACCTACGAGCATATTTCATTCTTGTTCAGGTAGGACTAAAGAACTTTGTGTCACAATGCTGGTTTTTCAAGGTTCCCTGTTTGATACGTTAAATGACAGGCAACCTAAAGCACTCTGCTGATATCCAACAAAAGATGTTTCAGTTATTAAACAAAATCATATAACACGATGTGATTCTGATACAATGCATTACAATACAATACATTAAAATATCATACATTATAATATAATGTATAATATATTATATATATAATATATAATACATTAAATCATGGGTGATTTAAATTCAGTACAATAAGAGATAATACAGTGTGAACTGGTATGATACAATATGATACAACACAATGTTTTATGATACAATACGTTACAATGAGATGCCTTACGACGAGATGCCTTGCGATATTATTTGATAGGTTAGGATACGATGTAATACTTTGATACAAATAAGTAAAATATTATATGATGCAATGTGACAGACCATATAATATGATACAACACAATGAACATGCAGTGTGATACAATACAGTACCGTACAGAAGTCAGGAAAAGATACAGCATGAAATATTATCATTTGATATGATTCATTGCACGTTCACCAAAAAATATTTTCGTGACTGAAGAGTTGCACATATTAAGATTTAGGGATGGGAATAAATCGTGGCCCTACGATACAATATTATCACAAATACTTGGGCCACGATACGGTATTATTGCGATTTTTAACATTTTGCAATACAGTGAGTATTGCAGTATAATATATTGAGATTTATACAATTTTTTCAACTGTTTAGCTTACCTTTTATGTATTTGTTGTACTAACTTTCCAAGCTCTAAACTACAACAATAAAAACAAACAAATGTCAACATGTCAACCAAGAAGCACGAAACAGTGACGGTCCAAATGACATCTTTTGCACTTATTTGTTAATGCTCCTCACAACTCAAAACAAACAAACAAACCTGGTAAGTGAGCTCACACATGCAGGTTGTCAAAATGAGAGTTGCAAATATAAAATGAGTGCTGTTGTTGATTTGCAGATGTGGTTCATGTGAATACATGCTGTGTGTGTCAGCTGGGGAATGCACACAAGTCAGTTTGTTTCATGAAGCTGTTACTGATCCATATATGATCCTCTTTTAACCCAACACCCTTTTCTCTTCCATCTTTTTTCTCAAATCGGTGCACGAGAACTTAAATCTTCCTCCTTATACCTCTCTAAGTCTTGTCTGTATTTTGTCTCCCATTTCTGTCTTTTCCTCTGTGGGTTTATTTCTTTGATCCTATTTTTGATCCCTCGCTCTCTCTCTTTTTCTCCCTTGCCTTCATTTTCATTCTCCCTCTGTGTCTCATTCTCTCCAGTCTGATTTCCATATATGGTTTTGGGAATTAGAATCAGATAAAGACAGGAATCTGCAGTAGTTCCACTGTGGTTCCACGCTTCATCAGGACACATACACACACTCACACTCACACACACACATACACACAAACACACACACACATGCACCCAAGCCACATGTCTGATTTTGTCCCATCTGACTTAAAGGACTCGCTTGGTTTTCAAACTCTCTGGAGAACACCACACACACACACACACACACACACACACACACACACACACACACACACACACACACACACACACACACACACACACACAGGCATACAATAACACACACAGATCTGTACTGGGTGAGGTCATGCTGGAGTTGAGGACTGCTGGTTTCCTGTCTGATGACGACTCCCTCTCCTTTATGGGCCCTACATCATTCAGCTCCATCTCTCTCTTTGTCCATGTGTATTTAAATCCTGTGAAAACTGAAAGGACCTCTTTAGGATGACCTCATTTTAGTCGTGTGTGATTAGTTTCATTACATCTAAACAACAGTCTGACACACAGAGAACCTCATGTTCTCTCACACTCGAAAGAGGATCATGACAAAAACAACCATTTCAGTCCAGCTGAGGTTTGTATTACTGTCTCCTCTGGCAGACCCTCTGCCTGTACTCCTGTAGCTCTAAACAAAATGATGATATCATTATTTAAAAAGCTCATGACCCTCTCAGCATCCCAGTTTTTCACTAAAGCAAATCGAACTGTATTCTGTAAAAAGTGTGTTTACACTGAAACATTGTCATCGCTAAGGAAACTGAACTGAAAACTTTATCCTTTTGCCTCCTCTTGCCTTTTTATTTCCGTTCTGTAAACTGTGCTCTTAACATATTCATTAACCAGACAGTATGATAATGATGTTGCTCAAGTTTAGTCAGACAGAACACAAGTTTTAAGTCTTTCTTAAAATGTGGTATAACATTGATGTTTCTTCAAATGTGTGATTGAAACTGTAGTGCTTAAGTCAAATGTGTATTACGTTATGTGATAAAAGAAGTTAGAAGTCTTTTTCGTCATCTTCCTTTGGTAACAAGTAAAATGTCTAATGCTGGCCATTGATAAAAATACAACTCTTCCTTTAAGCACAGAAGTGATAAACAGACTATCTTGACCAGCCTGACTGTGCTTGTTACAAAAATGTAATATTTTTCCTCTTTTATCAATAGTCCACCATATCTTGTTGAAGATGCCGCTCAGCTCTGTCACATTTTGATATTTTGACTATTTGCATGTTTGTGTATCTGCAGAACCCTCAGTACTCCAGCACCAGCACCTATGTGATCTATGCTCACCTGCTGAGGCAGATCGCAGCTCTGTCTGAGGCAGACCACCACTTCTTGGTCCACTGGCTCAAAAAGTAAGTCTTTACAGATTTTTAATCACTTTCTGGGTGAAAACTTTTGATTTGGGGGCTCTGTGCTGTGGATAGCGATTTTCAGGAGTTTCGGCTATGCCATCTTGTCTTTGCCATGGAGTTTAAAGGGAAATCATTATGTAGCATTAATTTATATGTTATCATGGAGAGAGGCAGTACACAGACTCATAAATGAAAATAATTAATTGTGAATAAATCCATAGATTTGAAAAACAAAAAAGGGTCTGGTGGTTCTCATCAGTGGGAGGCAGCTGTGTCCAGTCAACACTAGTGTACAGTCTTAAAGATATTGTTTAACTCTGATCAGACAAGTGTTCTAAGTGTTCATGGCACCCTGCCTGGAGAAAAACTCAATATCTCCTGAGAACCATTTTAAAGTAATTCTTTATTATAGATGTAGGCATCATGAATGATTTGGAGCCCTCCAAGTTTAAGTTACAGATTAACAGCCAGAGAGACTCAAGTCTTTAAAGCAGTGTCAGTGGGATTAAAAATGATTCAGTGCTGCATTTCAGCATTAAGACTCTTTCTATGTTCTTCATGTTTGATGTTCCTTTTTTTTTTTTTTTTGGAAGACGTAACCAAAGTCCAGACAGTCTTATTAAATCTTAAAGCGTATAAAACTTCACACACGTCCTACAATTACAAGTGCAGTCCAGCTTCTGTGCGTCTCCCTCCGCCTGAAAAAAGAAGCTCTGAATAACTCATCCTGTTTGTGGTAATGATTTACAAGCGAGCTGCTTCAAATTACAAGTTCTGTTTAGTTCTTGATCCAAAAAGCCAATTTCTTCATCCACTGCTGCTATTTCTTTCTGTCTTTGGTGTGTCTATTTCTGTGTGTGTATATATTTCAGAGTGTGTGATGTGCTGTTTGGGCAGTTTTGACTTCGCCAAACTGCTGATGTTAACCAATATTAACTTTGTCTGTGTTTGTGTGTGTGTGCGTGCCTGTGTGTAAGGCTGTCAGCAAGGCGGTTCAGGCTGCTGGTAGAGCGCCTCCTGCAGTTCATCTCCACCCGTCTGTTTCCTGCAGAACCAGACGAACTTCCTCCTCTGACAAAGTGCTCCTGGTGGGTCCCCTCTGCTACCAAAGTGCTCAGCCTGTTCAGTGAGTACACATAAACATGAGCACAGAAACACACACTCATATTTGATTATAGACAAATTACTCTTTGATAAACACTATTACCTCCTTTGTATCTCTCCTAAGATGCAGCCAACAGTGTCTCATCTCCTCCCATCATGCCTTTCACTGACTTCTACAACATCACTCTGGAGCACATAGACTTCATGGAGGAGTACAGGACCTGGCAGAACTACGGCAACTCTAACAGGTCAGGAATCTGTACAAATATCCTTACGTTAATATGGACAGCTGCCGCCACCGTCTCCCATTGTGAGAAGTGAGGCTGAGATGCTGTCTGGAGGGGCGCTGACATATTGCAGAGATGGAGCCAGTGAGGCATGTGCAGAAGTGATGTGGTTGGTGGTGCCATGGTGATGAAATCATATCCCTTTCACAAACCAAAAACACACATTTTACTCACCAATAAAACATCAGAGATTCCTCTGGTCGGTGGGTGCAGCCCACAGCAGAACAGATTCTGGTGCTAATGTAAAACAGACACTGGTGGTTATATAAAAAATGTAATGACTCTTGTGTTTGTTTGTTTGTTTTCTCCCTCTGTTCCTCCTTTACTTTGCTAATCCAGTCAGGAGCATATTTGTTAACAGAGCTGTCAATTATGATGTCATTTCCCCCCTTTTTAAACATCAAATTAGTCATTTTAACTAAACTAAACAAATCCAACCTGAAATAATGGCAAAAACATCATTCAGAAGGACACATAGCTCCTGTGAGGAACTTTTTGTTTGTGTCAACTTTGGTGCCCCCCGTGGACGAAGTACTCTTATCTTGTCCTCTTAATGATTAAGACCTGTCTCCTGACTAAAAAAAGCTTATCGTGTCGACTTTTGACAGCCACATTTATTGTTGTGAACACCTTATGAGGAATTTATTTTAGAAAAAAAGCAACTTTGCTGTCACTTACCCCCAGAACTGATTTCAGGCCAGAGACTGTAAATGGAATGAACGCCGTCTGCCTCCTCGCTGGTCGAAGCCACACTAAGAACAGCGCCCTCTGTTGACAGGCTGCAGTATAGGTCATAAATCCCACCTCCTCCAGCAATCCCTATAGCAATGGACAAATTTTAGAAATTTATTACACAGAATATAATTTTTTTCCCCCTCCTTGGGATGTTGACATGTAGCTACTGTAAGACTGGTTTATGCTCAAGTCCTCTTTTTTCTGTGCAGCTCCATTTTTAAAAGTTATTTGGGGTTCATGTTTTTTATGATTGACACTTGATACAGCCTATGGGTGTACAAAGATTGCGTAGCTCAGCCGGGGGGATGTGCTGTTTGAGCTGAGTGTCATCTCTGTGACTCTCAGCAACTCTCCTGCCCAAAGCGTACAATACAAATGTGCAAGTGGTCGAGTGCGTACAGCGTTACTGCACAAAGTTAGGGAAGTGGTGAAAAACTCGGAAATACCGAGAGCTTTTCGGATTCAAATCCGTTTACTGGCGGAAGATAAGACCAAGTCGTCCATAGTTTATACAGTCTATGTTTCAGGCATTAAAACTTGCATTATACCAATTTTTAATCTGGCCCTCAATGATCTTGTTGCTTTGTGGATATCAGGAAAAGGCAACAATATACGTTTCAATCATTTTCATAAACATAAAAAAATGTTTAAAAAACTCCTAAAAGTATTAAAAAGCAAATCTATTCTGCAGCCAGTCACCACAAGCTAGTTAATGCTTTCACCAGGTAACCATTCTAGACACAACGTCAGACTTTAAAGCATTGTGTGAAAAACAAGGAGAGTCTCCACATTGTTAAAATCACTGCAGTGTATTGAAGAAAAAAGGGGTTAAACACAAATCCGAACAATTCACCAATAAATCACTTCAACAGTTGAAACGAAGCACAAAAAGTGACTTTTTTCTCACTGCAGGTAAATGAATAATAATTGTGAGGATGATGATTCCCAGGAAAAGTGCCTCTGCTAACACTAAGGAGCAGAAATGCTAACAGATGTGACAACACATTAGCTCAACCAGCAGGACCTTAGCTCCCTCTGAAGATGCCTCCGAATCAGGCTGAAAATCTCCTCCTGAGCTCAGACGAAGTAACTTTCCCACAGCTGCAGTTTATCCCCAACCGTGGAAACACGTCTAGAAGCCGTGAAGTCTGTTTCACGCTGCGTCACACTGCGTCACGGCTCGTTAACGTGCAATATAGGAAATGGATCTACAGTTTACAGTTCAAACGACTGGCTCTTGAAGTTCCTGGCTGGTGAAGTGGGGGATTCTGCTCATTTCAGGCTCAGGGGAGGTTGGATTTCAGAGGCGACTCATTTGGATAAAGACTATAATTTGAAAAACACTTGGGAGTTGGTCTGCATGAGGAGGTTTTTGTTCTGTTGGTGTCAAAGAAATGTTAATTTGTAAAACAGAATTGTTTAAAACACTTCTTCAGCTTTGTTTACATTTTAGATTTTTCCTTGTTTCGTCTTAGGTTTTCCTTCTGCCAATTTCCCTTCATCCTTTCGGCTGTGGTAAAGAAAGCCATCATACAGAAAGACTCTGAGCAGCAGATGATCAGCCAGGCCCGGGTGAGACGCTCACACATGTATAAACAGCAGTAAAACATCATCTTAATGCAGCTCCCACATTCTGCAGAGTACTCTATATGTCAGTGGAGTCTGGAGACTTTAAATATACATGACTTTTTATTATACAGAAAAAACAATCCTTGTATGGAAACTTAATGAAATGTTTGTAATGCTAAGAAAATAGTTGGATCCTGTCAGAGGCAAAGCAGAGCCACTTTAGAGGATAAACTGTATGCATAGATTTGCAGCTGTCAGCTGAAACTATTCACTGGAGCATCTCCAAATCTTTTTTTTTTTAGCTATAAGTTATTAAGACCCCAGAAATGTTTCAGTTAGGCCCATTTTTTGTTAAAACGAGTTTCTTATTTGCCTGCAGTAGTTATATCAGATGGTATAGCTCTGTTCTGAGAGAATGAGAGCAGCAGCAAAGACCCCCGGGAACAGAGTAGAGTGGACATCAGTGACAAAACATATGACACTAGTAGAATTAGACACAGCATACATAGGAGGAGATGGGTGGGGGCTGCCTATTCCCACATTTGCCAACTAAATGTAAGATAGAGCTGTCAGCTGATATGGACTGGTGTTTGGATCAGCTCTTGGCTAATCTTGACTAAGTAGCCTGCCTGAACTAACACCACACTCAGTTAATACTGGTAAAAAGCCCAGTTTTGATAGATGTGAGGAACTTTTTTCTCTTCTCAATGTTTATGTTATAAAAGCCAGAAGAACAGTGAATGATGACAAAGAAACAGACAAAACTTGAAAAGTATGAAATGAATATGAAGGCCTATCTTATACTGTGTGTCTTACAGCAAAGCCTGGTGAGTAAGGTTTCTCGCAGGCAGAGAGTGGACATGAACCTCCTGTTCCTCAACATTAAAGTACGACGAGCACAGCTCCTCAGCGACTCACTGGATGAGGTCAGTACACAGAAACACACATTCACACTTTTTTTTTTCTCGGCACATCTGTTCCTCATGTTTTTTAACCAAAATAGTCTTTGTAGCACAATTAAACAACCAGATCTTATTAAATGGGAAAAAGCTGAAAAAGTCCAAACATAAGCTTTAACTGTGTTTCTCAAAGCTGGTAGTAACATGAACAATGTGTTCAGGTACCAGAGACATTTGCTTGGGGCTTTGTTTCACTCCTCTAAAAACATCTTGTTTTTGTCTGAAAACTTTTACCTCAAAGTTACCTCCCAACAAAAAAGTTAGCCTTTTTTTGTGAGTTTAATACTCGGGGACTGATGTCGAACAAAAAAAAAAACTGTGTTGAGGTATGGGGAAATACGTATAAAAGCAGTTTACAAAAGATTTACACTTTACAAAAGAGAGTCATAAGAATGATTAATCATGCTGGGTACCTCGCTCATACAAATCTTTTGTCCCCAAAATAGGGTATTTGAAAATTCTGGGACCGAATTCAATTTAAAACAGGTTTTTGTTTCAAGCCTGAAACAACAAAACAATTTGTTGCCAAGAAAATCCAAATGATGATCATGGTTAGAGAGGGAGCATACAACTTGAGAAGGAATTGTAATTTTAAACAACTAATCATCCATTCAACTCTGAAAAGTATGTGCATCTCTTTTTGTACAATTGTGGAACAAATTAGATGAAGACTTAAAATGTGCATTAAATAAAAAGTATTTTTAAAAGTAACTGCAAATAAACACTCTTGTTCAGCTATAAAGAACTGGATAGCGAAGGTTATACTCTTTTTTTAAATAATTTATTTAGCTAGTCTGGCAGATGTCAGGCTTTAAAAAGTTGATGTATGAAAAGTTGATGTATCTGGCCACAGATGTTTGAATGCATCTTTACAGAATCAACAACTTACAGCTATATCAGTGAGATCATGTAAAAAGAGGCTCACTTTATTAAGCACTATTCCAGGTCTCATTGAAAAGGAGAAAATTTAAATTTGATTCAGTAACTTCTTTTCTTTACCAACTTTTTGGTTTACTGGTTCTGTTACAGCTCTCACTATGATATTGAACTTTGGCCAAGAAGCGGGATGGAGGGGCTTTTGTTTGTAGCCTCATCAGAGTGTATATTTACTCATTAAATCTCATGCTTATGTGAAGCTCCTGCAGTGCAGGATTTTAAAATCTCAAATGCTCACAAATGTTTGTGGTGCTAACCCTAAGTTTTAGGTCCATATGAGGTTGTGATGACAAACAAAAAAAGAAAATTTAAGATCTGGGAACTTTTGGGATCTTTGGTAATTAAAGAACTATTCATGTGGGCGGAATGGGTCTTTAATCTTCTGCACTTATGTGTAAACCTCAAACCCTCAGTCGAACCTAAACCTGACTGTAAATCTGGTTCAGACCCTTAAATCTAAAGTTTAAGTGATGTTAAGTGTGGGGTTCAAAAAGCAAAACTCAGCCTGTGAGTCTTTAAAATGTCCAACAATGTTTTTCTTCTCTTGGAGTTTAAACATCTCATGGCATTTTTACTCCCATGCAGGAGAATTTTGTGAAAAAAAATGAAGCAGAACATAAAAAGAGACAAACGTTGTAAATTATGTTCTGATGTTTAATCTTTTACCTTCTGCAGCTGATGAGGAAGAGGTGTGACCTGAAAAAGAAGCTCCGGGTGACCTTTGTCGGGGAGGCGGGGCTTGACATGGGTGGTCTGACGAAGGAGTGGTTCCTGCTGCTGGTGCGACAGATCTTCCACACTGACTATGGTGAGACACACATTTCACTTCATGAATCAAGTGTGAGCACAGAAAATGTCTGCGAGCTTCCATGAATATCCAGGGAGCAGCTGAAAACATCTGATAATACGAAGATTTCAGACGCCAAATCCAGCTTAAAGCAAAGTCAGTGGAAAGTGAGGCGATACTTTATTGAAAAGGAGCAGAGGGAAAATCTGATTTTTATTGAATAAAAATGGAAAGTTGAGTTTTATTGGTCAGAGGTCTCAGTGGATGAGGTCTGTGAGTTTTCAGGCGGCTGAAACTGCAGCAGAGAAAGTGTCAGATGGCTGAGAAAAGTGGTCAGTGTTGGTTTTGGAAGCTCAACAACTAAATTTCATTTCAGACCGGAGCAGATCTTACTACGATTGTTGTCCTCCAGCAATCTGTTTCTCCTTAAAGTGTACTCTTCTCCATGATTCCCATTATCTTGACAGCACATTGTCTGTTTTGTGTCCTCGCCTGTTTCTCCTCCATTCTTCATCTCTCATCCTTTATAAAAGAGGCTTTGTCTTCCTTACAGTTTCTTCCATAACAAAGAGGAAAAATATCAACTCAATTTATTTCAGAGGCTTAATAAGAAACATTTTTATATTCTTCACAAAACAGCTGCAGTCAGGCTCAAGCAGTGACTGATGGTTGTTCTGCTATATGCAGATGTCGGCCCATCAGCACATAATGAGCCATGCACCGATGTCAGCAGCCAATGTTAAAGCAATGCTGGTGAGCCAGTACACCTCAATGCTGATTTGGGCAGAAGAAGTCATCCTATGGACAAGCTGTGATTTGTTTTTGTGTTCAAACATCAGAGAAAATGTTGGCACGTCTCTAAGGAAGGTCAGCTACAAGCAGACATTCAAGAGGTAGAAGCAGTCTAACTGGGTCAGATCTCATTTGAATAACAGATACAAAGATGACTATCAGAGCTGTCTTTAAGCTTGATTGTTATTTTAAACATCAGCACCATTATATTTACTGCATCTCATTCAATTCTAAGGACAAAAGGATGGACTCTGAATCATATTTCTATTTAGTATGTAGTTACTAAAGAAGTAAACATGCAGCTCAGAGATGAAATGGTCAGTTCTGTGAGTAGACTGTGATCCTATTGGGAGTTTGATCCATTTCTAGTCACTGAAATCCAATCAGGCTGTAACAACACGCTTGTGACCTCGTTTAAAGCACTGCTATTATTCTGTGCATTGTTTTCACACAACATTTCTTAGTTAAGGTAACATTACAACAGCTAGTTAGTTAGTTAGTTAGTTAGTTAGCTAGTAAGTTGGTTAGTTAAGTTTATTTTAATCAACATAAGTGATTTCTCCCTCTAATGAACGCTTGAAAACCTGGTACTCATCACAAACTGAAAAATATTAAGGAACTCAGTAATTAAGAAAAACAGAATAAATGTAAATAACATTGACATGATTAATTATGTGCCATAAAAGGTGAAAGTTCAAACTATTCCACCTGTTACAACTATTCCATTCTACTTTCACCCACCATTTAGATAACCAACATGCCACAGAAGCAGCCCTTCGCCACTAAGTTGAGTGCAAACACAAAAATATTAAAATATTTCATATTCAAGCGAGTAAATGCCATAAAAAGGCAAAGAAACAAACAAACATACTTGAGTAGTAGGACAATTTCACTTTAGGTCAGGGAGCTTTCTCACGTTTTTTACCTTTTAGAAAAATAGGGAATATTTCACGGTGAACCTCCTTGTTTCTCAGCATTATTTCTTCAGTTCACTGCAGGTTGACAAGTTAATAACAACCTCTTGATTGAAGGAATAATTAAATAATATGAAAACTATCAAATGTGGATTATTGATTTCAAATAGCAGAAGCTGCAAGCTGTCTTAAAAGTCTCATTTAAGCTTTGCCAAGAAGTTGTTTTTGTTGCAACGATGTGGACCCTAACAAATGTTGCATCATTATTTAATTCTGATATAAATAACTCATTTATTGTAATTGTGAGCTCTTTGGCAATCCTAAAATCAGGCCCAAGAATTACAGTTTGTTTTATTTTTCTACACCACGTTGAGTGTTCTCTTCATGGCAGTGTTTTTTATCTGGCAGGACTTTGTGACCTATTTAGTTTTTTCACAAACCTTAAAAGAGTTATTGATACCACTGCTGTCAGCATGTTTCCAGTGCCTCATAAAAACAGTTAGAAATCACTGATTAAAAAACAAGTAAGCAGCTTTAAAGATGTGAAATCCCTCTGACCAGGACTTGGTATAGTTTCGGTGCCATGAAGACTTTGGTGCTCGAGTAAAGATCATTTTATCACCATTTGGAATGATTTACCAAAGCAGATCAGGGTGTCTGAAGCTGCCTTTATTCTTCAATCGAACAGTGAAGATGAGTGGGAGTTTTGAGACACATTTATGCTCTGCAGATGTGAAATAATTTCCATGTTGAACTTGATATCCTATTTGTGTGCTTCCAGGACTTCTGCTTTTTTATGTGTAAGAAATATTCCCCCATCAAAAGCCTTTGCTTACCATCAAGAGAAAATATCCTGCAAATTTCCCCATATAGGTTCAGTCTTAAGTCTTTATTCTACAGAATATTGGAGTTTGAACAAGAGAAAACTGAGTAGGAACCAAGTGAGCGTCTGCCTGTGCATCTACTACATTTTTTTCTTGCTATTCCCCCATTTTTCTTTCTTTCTCTCTCTTTTTCAGTCTCTGTCTCTTCTCTGGTCAAGTTGTTCTTTCCATCATCTTTCCGTCTTTCCGCGGTCGTCTGTGTTTTTGGTGCCAGGGGACGTCAGCCCAAAGCAACACACTCAATGAAAGCTGTGTTCCCCTCATTAGCAGCTCAGGGAAAGCCCCGACTTTGCCTCATACACACACACACACATATACTATGCTGCACACAGGCAGGTGTACACACACACAGGCTCTTTTATGCATAAAGTGGTGTCAGTTTCTGGTGTTTGGAGATGTGAGCGGTCCAGATGTGTGTCTGGGCCCAGAACAGACTGCTGCTGTTCGTCTTGGTCAGAGTTGGAAAAGCTGCTGCGCTTCTTTATTCTCCCAAAACTACCTGGTCATTATCCTTTTTTTTTAAGTGCTGTGACGCTCACCAAAGACACCACAAGTTAACACACAGACTGGACACTGACAAGATGTTCAGAAGAGTTGCAGAGAGAAAATCAACAACCCATGCTGAGCACGCAGGTTTTTCTGACAGTAAAGATTTACAGTGAGAGCGCAACAGGCCGTCATCCAGCGGTGACCCACTTTATGAAAGCCATTCACAATGTAATATTAATCAATGTAGTATTCACCAAACGGTGCACCTTTTCTTTTGTGAGTATTGTTCTGTGATGAGCGCCAAAAGCAAACACATGCAACAAGCAAAAATACATCCATTAGCTGCCAGTTCAAAAACCAAAGGACAAATGCTGCAGGAAGATGTGCCTTTTGTTTTACCTCACAGCTTCTTTCAATCAGATTGTTTTCTGCTAATATCCTTCTTCTTGTCACTGTACTTTTTTCTTCAAAGTGTCCATGTTCAGTCATTTTGATATTAGAAAAATGGATCACGTAACTGTAAGAAAGAACTCCTGAATGGTTGTAAAGAATCTTCTACTTATGAGTGGACTCTTCTGCCTCTTTCAAAAATCGCAGTGCACCTTCAGCTCAGCATGAAACAGCAGATAGGCACAGTTTGAGACTAGCTGACTAACAAAGTGAGGAATTAAGATGTTTCTCGAAGGGGTGGAGACCAAAAACAGAGCACAAAAGAGGAATGAATATTAGTCTCACATCCATTTGGTGGACTTGTGCCTGAATCCAAAGGAAGAACTACCTCTGTGAATTTGATGTGATGTTAATTTACCACATGAAGATAATCTTGCATATTGGTTACATGTGGTTATTCTGCCTGACAGGGAACAAAAATGTCATTCTTTAACTTTCCTATTTGTTCTCCTCTTCCCAATTTCACTAAGTACTAGGCTGATATTCTAGTATTTTTCATCATCAGTATTTCAGCAGAAGCAAATATACTTCAACGAGCAAGAAGTTAAATTTTGAGCATCTGAACTGAGGTCTTTTACCCAAGAAAGACAGGCAGACAATTGGAGCCAGATAACTTAATGTAGATTTGAAGTCATCTGTGGATGATTTTGAATAAATGATTGGATTAAATATTTCACTGGACTTGGATGATGGTGACCCCCTCTGTTTCAGCAGGGGGTGGAGGGATGGGGGGGCAGACTGTTGGACCCCTAACAGATTTTACTGTTTGTGTTTTCTTCCATTTATTTTGATCAGGACTGAAGGATAACTGCATTTCAATATACATTTTTTTTATTTTGATTTATCTTTTACATATTTGTGCATGAGTATGTAATTATTTTTTGCCGAGCAGCATCATCATCATCATGTTAGTCTCAGTTTGGGTCTTAACCATAGACTGTATATAGAATGGAGACCGTCTGCCTCCTTGCTGGGTGAAGCCACCCTGAGAACAGCACCCTCTGGTGACGGGCTGCAGTATAGGTCATAAATCCTCCAGCAATCCCGATAGAGTTGTGGACAAACTTTAGAAATGTATTACTCAGAATATACATTTTTCTCCCCCCTGCTTGCAATGTTGACATGTAGATATTGTAAGACTGGTTTGTACTTGAGCACAAAGACTGGTTTGTGCTCAAGTACTTTTTTTGTGTACAGCTCCATTTTTAAAAGTTATTAGGGGGTTCATGTTTTCTATGATTGACACTTGATACAGCCTATGGACGCACGAAGATTGCATAGCTTACCCAGGGCATACACTATTTGAGCAGCGTATCGTCACAGCGACTCCCGGCGACTCTCCCACCGAATGCGTATAATGCTACTGCGCAAGTGTTGGTTTCAGTAAATAGAGAAAAACACAGAAATACCGAGAGCTCTTTAGCTTCAAATCCGTATACTGGCAGAAGGCGGAACCAAGTTGTCCATAGTTTATACAGTCTATGGTCATAACCTGCTAAAATCACCTGACAGAAGCTTAAAGAAGGAATAAGCCAAAAATTCAGAAACACATTAAAATGAATATAACAAATACAAAATGAAACAGGCTATAAATGTCTGTTTATTTCTTATTTTCCTTTTCCATTGATCAAATTGTCTGTTTTATCTTCTTTTCTTTTGTGTCTTTTTTCTTCACTGTTGTATTACTTTTTGATCAGTTTGAATCTTGCAATTTATATATATATTTTTTTTCCCTTCATGTCTATGCCTGCTTCCCCCTGTCATTGTGCCTCTGTTTCATAGGTTCAATCTTCTTGTTGTTGTTATTATTATTATTATTATTATTATTATTATTAGTAGTAGTAGTAGTATTAGTAGTATTATTATTGTTATCACCAGAGATACATTTAACCCTGTATATTTCTTCCAGGAATGTTCACCTATATGAAGGACTCGCGCTGCCACTGGTTCAGCAGTTGGAAGTGTGACAACTACTCAGAGTTTCAATTGGTCGGGACTGTATCCTTTTCTGAACAAAAACAGGGGCGAGTAAGTGTTTGGGTTTCACATTAAGTTTATAGTTTATTTTTTTGACTTTTCCCAGAGAGAGTGTGAGCACAAGCGCACCAACATCATTATCTTTTATGTTTGTTTGGTACAATCACAGCTCATTCCTGGTTTCACAGCTTTCAAAGCAGCTGTTGGCAATTATTTTATTTTTCTTCTGCAGACAAAACTGTGGTGTTTTACTGACTTTGCTGTGTGAATGACATGCAGATAAGCACAAACACACAGGCACTCCTCACTTGCAGCCCCTTTTCCACCCTTTCTCACACACTACAACACTCCTCTATTTAAAACCACAGAGGGGAAACAGATACTATAATGTGTGTTTTTAGGCTTCAACTCTGCGCACTGAACAAATATATCTCAAACTAAAATTGTCTCTTTCCAGCCCAGAATACAAAATAAAAGAGACATTCATCCAAAACAAGACAGCCTCAGAGGTTTCACAGCCCAGCTCTTACATAAGAATCAGGAACAAAATTTATAAAGCTCAGCTGAGTATTGTAAAACACACTAGCAACAACATGTTTGCATAATCAACTCCATAGACTCTAAATTTTAAAAGGTGAGGTGTATTTTCTTCTTTTAATGTACATTATACTTCATCATGCTGCAAACAGCCAGAACACTGACTGCAGGGATATTTTATGAAGTTAGCTGCTGCTTTACTGACTTTGGGGACAAGTATTCTTTGGAGGATAGAAATAATAAAAATTTAATCATGCAGAACCCTTAAATAACAAAAGCTCCAAACTTAAGTGACAAATTAAAAACACTGAATAACATAATTCTTCTCTATAGGGGTGGGACAAAGTATTACTAAGGCAATATGTCATCATCCTGACCTGTAGGACACAGTTATTGACACAGCCGGGCACTTTAAAAAAAAGATGTGTTTTTCCACACCAATTCAACGGCTTCATTAAATTGCATTGTATCGTACTGTATTGTATCATATGACATGGCCTCACACCGCTTTATATAATATGGTACTGTATTATATTCCATAGCATTGTATCTCATTCCACTGTGTAGCATCACAGCCTATTTTATAGTGTCGCATCGTATTGTATCATATAGTATCATATAGCATCACGTTCACCCCAACTCTTCAAATTAACAGGCTACAACATATTCACATTGGTGTAGTGGTTAGCACTGTTGCCTCACAGCAAGAAGGCCCTTCTTGCTGTCTGTGTTGGTTTACTCCGGGTACTCCAGTTTCCCCCCCCCACATCCCTAAAACATGCAAAAGTGGGTTTAGGTTAATCGGTCACTTTTGAAATTGCCCGTAGGTGTGAATGTGAGTGTGGATGGTTGTTCGTCTCAATATGTCAGCCCTGGGATGAACTGGCAACTTGTCCAGGCGTGTTTCCTGCCTTCGCTGCAAGGATAGATGCTGTTGACCAATAAGTTATTTATTTAATGGGAATTTATGGACTCATGTTTTTTTTCTAACATATGCAGTATACCTGGTGTAAGCTGTTTATTTTCCTTCGTTTTATTCAACAATAGAGGATTTCAGCACATATGAGTTTACAAGACTCTAGAGAAGAAAACAGACAAAAGGAACAATAAAACACCAAAGAAAATGAAAAAATTCACAACGTCAAATAATGATGAAGCAAAATTACCTCAATGTTGCACCTCAAACTTTACAACTCTAATAATAGCTACTTTCTGCAGCAAGTCCAGGAGGTTGCACACCTTAGATTTTTAATTCCCATTCGTCCAGTTTGCTTTCAGAAACTTTTAACTCTTACTCTTTGTTAATGAAGAATCAACATCCTTTCCTTGGTCTCATCTTGTACTTGGCTTGGCATTTAGCATTTTGGGGCAGGCTCATTTTCAGAAACAGGGTTTACCAAGCAGCGTTAGCTTAAAAAAAAACAAAAAAAGCACCTACAGCAGCTGCACATTTGTTGAATATTTGGTGTAGTTTGAGCAGATAACGGGCCCTAATTCCTAGAAACATACTGTCACTCCAACATATGTTACTATATTTATTAGAAGTTGCATGAGTTGGGAATGAGACAATGTGGACTGATGGATAAAAAAGTCTAACACGCTCCATACTTTCTGCAAACGCAGTGTCATTAGTGTTATTTTTTTTATCACTCTGAACCATTTTCAGGTTCTTTCTTCAGCTCCTTCTGAGAAGAGTTAAATTTTTTGCACATTTCCACTCTCTTTTACTAATTCTCACTGCCTCCAAAACTTGATTTCCCTTTGCACTGCTCACACCCATATTCTTGTTTATGATTCGGTCAAAACAGTAAGCTCCTGCCTCCACTTTCTCTTGGCCTGAAGCCATTGGCCGGCTTCTGAAAGTGATAAATTTTAATGTTGTTTTGTTTTATTGTTACAAAGCAAAAAAAAAATGTGGTAAACATCATGAGCTGCAGTTTTTTTTTAAACATTTCTGGGAAGCATTTATACATGACTCCAACTTTTTGTCGTTTAGCTCTGCAGAGTAGCTCTGCTGATGTTCCTGCTGTTTGTCAAATGTACTGTATTTCCAGGAATATGTGCATGTAAGAGTGTGTGTTTATATACAGTTTCAGTGTGTGAATGTGTCAGTGTCAGTGTGTGTGTGTATGTATGTGTGCGTGTAGCTTTTGTGAACAGAGAACAGGCCAGCGCTTTATCCTTAGTAGCCAGCTGGGAACTGTCAAAAGGTTATATAACCTAATAGCTGCTTGTTCCTCGCCAGGTTATTGAGAGTGTGTGTGTGTGTGTGTGTGTGTGTGTGTGTGTGTGTGTGTGTGTGTGTGTGTGTGTGTGTGTGTGTGTGTGTGTGTGTGTGTGTGTGTGTGTGTGTGTGTGTGTGTGTTTTATGCAGAAAAAGTCAGATGGAGGGATCAAGACTGAGAGAAAGAATAGATAGAGTGAAGCAGGAATGGTTGGACATGTGCATGTTAATGAGTGTGCATGTTAATGAGAGTGTGTGTGTTTGTGTGTGTGCTTCTGGGTGTTTTGTGCTGGTTTCACGTGTGCCTGTGTTTAAAGCTAATTTATCAATCTCCCTAGTTCCTGTTGAGTCGTCATGGTCACATTGCGTAACTATGGCGATGGGGAGGCGGTGGTGGAGGGAGCAGAGAAAATGTGTTACAGAGAGAGAGTGAACGGTAAATGAGAAACAGACATGAAGTGATGCAGCAGGGGTTGTAGGTTAGACATGAACAGAGCGTAAACACACCTAAACAAATAGTGAATCAAATATTTAGAGAAGAGAGAGAGAGACAAAGTGGGACACAAGGAGAGAGCGACAGATGCGGGAAGATGTGGCTGATTGATATGATACAAACTACAGCCGTTCAAGACCCAAAGCAGAGCAATGTGCTGGGGTTAGAAATAGATAAATTACAAACAATAGTGATGCTTAAAGGCATCTCTGCTGCTCAGAGGTTAAATTAGAAGCTAACATCTTCATGCTAACACTTGAAGGTGAACAGTTCTAGCACGCTGAAGTTTAGCATGCTAGCAATCGACAGCATTTGAGAACAACCTTCACTAATTTTAGATAATGTCATCGTCTTAGACCCTGTAATGGTCAAGCTTAGCTAAGAAAAGACTGTCCTTCAAACAAAATATTTGATGCTCGTCCTAAAAATCAGTACGTGTACATGCACAGTTAAGTCTAGCTGTAGTTGTAGCTCGATTGGGTGTTTCAACTCTCGCTATCCTGGTTGAAAAGCACCAGACAGGAACTTCTTTATTCGCAAAAGTCTGCCCTCTTCTACTACAGTAGACAATAAGCCTCCTCTTAGCTCCTTACTATTGGGCTGTCTCCTGGTTTACCAAAACAACTGAAAAATGTGTTCGCAAGAGATGAACAGGTTGTATGTCGACCAATTAAAAACACAAACATCTTCACAGCTCAGCACCATCCATTCAAATGATTTAACAGCTTCTTTAATGTCCCTCTGTCCTCTTGTGTCGAGGTTTGTCGGTTTTCTAACTTCCCAACAACGTGTTTACTACACACTTACACTAGAGGAAAATATGAATCACCAACCACATTATCTTGATACATTAGGAATTGAATTTAATTTGATGAACTAACAAGCTTACATGATTTTTTAAAGTGCAGTATTAGTTCAAGTAAGGCAATAGTTCAATATTTGGAACAACATGAAAACATATGGATACTGTCCTCGTTTATGTTGCCTGTCTGTGTGTATGTGTGTGTGTGTGTGTTTACTGTGTGCATCTGGTTGAGTCCGTAATGACCTTAATAGTTGTGGCCTAATTGTACACTGTGTGTTTATTTTCATGCTGTGCCTGAGAATGTGTGTTGAACATTTGCTTGTTTGTCACCTACCTGTAATAAGTAGTGTTTAGTTTACAGATGCACACATGCGTACGCACACACACACACACACACACACACACACACACACACACACACACACACACACACACACACTTACCCCCCACCCCTTAACCCCGCACACAAGCTTAAAAACACAATTACACCACATATGGTCACCATATGTGGCAGCTGTGAGTACTGTGTGTATGTATTTGTGTGTGTGTGTGTGTGTGTGTGTGTGTGTGTGTGTGTGTGTGTGTGTGTGTGTGTGTGTGTGTGTGTGTGTGTGTGTATACCCCCAGACTTATCACTTTGCACTTAACAAACTTTACTACAACATTATTTAGGTCCTCTGCAAATATAACTCTCATTGTTATGGAAACAGCGTAAGTTAAGGAATTCTTGAAGCCTTTGTTTTGTGCAGAAAAAGCAAGTGAGCTTTAAAAGATTGTTTCTGTCATCTTAAAATCATGAAACCCATAAAATCAACTATAAAATTAATTTGCAATTGCAAATCATGTTCACAGAAACCAACGTTTATACCAGAGAGTGATATTTATGTAGTAGAAATCATGATAAGAAAATGTTTTTAAAGACTCTGCATCAAGAATGAATTGATTTGATCAGCCTCAGAAGTGATGAAGTGAGAACTGTCTGTGTCAGATAGATGTAACTCAGGAAACACATCAGTTAGAAATAACTTCATGGACAAGAATAAAAACAGTTTTAGAGACATTAGGAAGTTAGTTCATTCACCTAGACAGGGGCACAGTTCAGTTTAACAGGCCTCTCCTAGAGTAATATATATATATATATATATATATATACTCCTGCCCTGTTTGATCTGCTGATATTCTGAGATTTTTTGCCGTCTTCACAGTGACGGAAGTTTACAGACATCTCAATAAACAGAGCTGGCTTTCCTGTGTGAAAGGTATTAGTCCTGTCCCATTTGACATCACTTTTTTATTTGCCTAAAACATGAAGTAAAAGTGCTGTGCTGAGCGTTTGAAGCATGTAAGCGTTAAAAATTGATATATTTCTGTTGTAGCTTCAGTTCAACTAACTCTTCTCTAGCTTCCCCAGAACTGTATATCCATGTGTTATATTTATTGTTTAATCACTGTACTAATAACATACTATTAGTAAATTATTTGTTAAGGCTGCAGTGAATCAGTTAACAATAGAACTAAGGAAAATTCAACTTTATGGCAAAAACAGGTAAAAACTAAGGCTGCACGACATTGGAAAAAACTAACATTGCGATTTTTTTCAACCTGCGATATATATTGCGATATTAAAGAATAGAGGAACAACTTATGAACTTAAAAGATGAGCTGTGATGAGTGGGGTTTACTCACATACTTGTCCTTAAGGGACCACTCAGGGTACAGCTGAGCATAGAGTCTTTGTTCTCAGTCAGCTTCAGTGAAAAATCTCTTTCTCATCTGCTGCCAGGAACTTTCACTGTGAAGAGACACATTCTCAATGAAACTTTGCTGCAACACCCAAAAATAAAATAATAAAGTCCATTTAGAAGGGCAGTTTCTGTGCAAGAAATACACACACTTAGTCAGAGTTTTTAGATGGGGCAGCAGATCACTTGTCCTAAAAAGCACTGCCAACTAACCAACTGTATTTTGTCAGCCAGCATAAAAGCTGTACATAAATCTGATCATAAATATCTAGCATTGCCAACATTTTCTTAAAATAGCTCTCAGTGTTTGTCCTTTTAAGAAGGGGGGCAAAAACTATCAGTGCTGATAAGAATATAAATCAGGAACTAATTAAAGTCAAAACCTATCTTTAGATGTTCTTGAACTCATACCTGCATCTGACTGGACTCAGCTTTGTGGTTATCAAACACTTCAAAAATGTCCTCCACTCTCAATGTTTCCATTTCAAATAATCCTGCCTGACCTGAAGCGACCTGTAGGTCAGCATCTGTCCTCATATCATCATTGATGGTTGTCTGACCTGAAGTGACCTGTAGGTCAGCATCAGTCCTCTTATATTCATTGATAGCTGGACCAAGAATTGACACAATCTCTTCCCACTCCAAGTCTTGGAGGGTTTGGTTGAAAATCATCAGTATCCATGTCGAAGGCAGTGACCGTTCTTCAGTCTCTGTCTCTGATTTTTGAGTGGTGTAAAATTGATTGCAATACTGCTACAGATTATCTTTGATCTACTCTCTCTTTTACTAAAGGTACAGTTCGCAAACAGGTCATCTCACACAGGTGTCTCTGGTTCTATTCTCATGTGTTCCAACAGGATTCCAGTGTGTGTGTGTGTGTGTGTGTGTGTGTGTGTGTGTGTGTGTGTGTGTGTGTGTGTGTGTGTGTGTGTGTGTGTGTGTGTGTGTCTCACCCACTGGACTTCAAAAACGGTTGATGGCATGTTCAGTTTGTGAACTTGGCGTCACACCGATATCACACACAAATACAAACATACTAAGGCTACACAATGAAGTCATTTAGTTTACATTTCGCTCTTTACTCTTTATACACTCTCATAAACACATGCGTATGCGTAAACACGTACATGTATACACATCGGTTTGCTCTGCGGTCTATAGTGAATAAAGTTGTGTTCCAGGCTGCCAGTGTCTGATAAAAATCCAACATTGTTGATGTCAGCTATCCCAGTAGTTCATGTGTAGTTTCAGGTCCGCCAGCTTTATCTGATGTTTAAAAACTTGAAAATTAGAAACATTTTGCGAGGTTTCCTGTCTGAAAATCACTCAGTGGTTAGTTCTGACCACTCTTTCTGATCAGACACATGGCGTCCCACGTGTATGATACATTTCTGATGTAAAAGAAAAGATGAATAGGGTCTTATTCTCTGACTGCTGCTTCATATTTTCCTGATCTGCCTTAAAATCTTCAAGATAAAATCAACATCTGTACAAGAACAGTGGCAGCATTTTTTTTTTTTGTTTAGCTTATTTGTTATTAATATCACAGTTATTAATCAGAAACGCTCTTGCACAGTTATTTCAAGTGCATGAAATTACACCAATTTTACACCAACTCAACTTTTATTGTGTCCTTGAAGGATCTTTGATTATGTGTCTGGTGATGGTAAACCTGCTTCTCCCAGGAATATAAGTTTTATGTTTGGTAAATTAATGGGTAAATGAAAAAAATAAATACAATCTTGGTGTGGGCTGTAAGTTGATATGTAACTGACAAAAGAAAAAAAAATGAAATGGCATTTTGTACCACACTATTTGAAAAGTTTAAGGTTTAGTCTTCACTCCCCCCGTTTATTTTTACTTACACAGAGCCTTCACAAAGAGACACTTGATTTTCAATAAGCAGAATAAAACGCTTTACAAATGAGGTAAAAGTTAAACAAGATATAAACTAACATACTCATTTAAACCATTCTTTTTTTTCAATTGGAAGTACATGCGAGAGGGCATAAGAAATCATATGTGGTGTTTTTAACATTAAGTACAAAACCAAATGAGTGCCGTCCTGGTTTTGTCAGGTTTAGAGAAGCATATAGAAACTCATCATGCTAAGGCAAATGTATAGACCTGCTGCAAACATATACAGTTTAAGGCTTTTCTGTCGGTGTGTATTTGCTCTGTCAGTAGTGAGTTCCTCCTTGACCTTCTTTGCTATCAGCTGATGGGCTTAGCAGTTTACAACAGCATCGCTCTGGACATTCACTTCCCCCTCTACTGTTACAGGTATGCCTCTTTCCATCTGGTCTACTGTATGTATGACAATATTTAATATTACATTCACAAAGGAGATTGTTTCCATATCAGAAATGTTGCTGTTGATCAATCTGCATCACACATGTCTCTGGTCACCTCTTATCACGGACTTTAACAGAGCCTTCATGTCGGCCTCTATAACAGGAAAAAAAGAAATAATGTATAACAGAAATCTGTCCATCTTGTTTTTGAGCAAAAAGAACATTTTGTAGAGATGTAATGTTACAAGTGGGGCTGTTAAATACTTGACTGTTGTAATGGCAATAAATTGTACAATTTTAGTAGTGAATTGTGATTTCTCACAATTTTAATCACATTTGAAATTGTGTTGCATTTCAAATCAGTTTTAAGTCCAGATTAACAATACAAATGTATTCTTAATAGTGTCTCTTTCTTGGTACAGATAAATTCAATGAAATGTAATTGGTGATCCTGTCTTTTAGAGATATTATTCAAATATAAGCATCACCACTAAACTAGATCTCCAATCAGTGTAAATAGGTGTCATCAGGCTTGCTAGCTGACCTGTACGCTTGGTTGGAAAAGTGGCTCAAACTTCATGTATTTCAGTTAAAATTTAGTTCAGTTTGACACAAATTACACATTAGTTTTGACTTGTCCACTTAGTTGTCTAAGTAAAAAGTTCCTTTTAAACTCTAAGTGGTGTCGCCATCTTCCATCACAACAGCAGGAAGAGACTTGCAGCCGGGTGAGGGACTAAATAGCTCATGCTAAAAAAATACAAGATCTTGCAGTTATTTTGTTCTGTCAGTTCATTAGAATTTAAACAGTGACACTCAGGTTTAGTTACATATAACTTAATTCACTTTTTATTGTTTTTATGTCCTCCCTTTCAGGAAGCTCCTTACTCCACCAACTGCTCCATGTGACCAAAATGCCCTTGTTGGCATGGCAACTGCCACGCTGGAAGACTTGCAGCAGATCATGCCGGTATGTATCTCAGCTCCATCCAAAATTAATCAAAACCCCTGATGATATGTGAGATACCTTTAGTGACAGTGTGAAGAATAAAATAAATAAAATATTATTAAGTTCCTCATCTGAGTCTTTGGCTCCAAAAACATATTTTTCTCTTCTCCAAAACACTTCAGAAACCTGTAGTCCAACTAATGACATACTTGTCCTCTTTTCCTTTGTTAGTGTGTCATTATTTTAACCTTCCTTACACAGTCTGCTCATATTGTTTAATTTCCTGAGCACATTTTTAAATGTGTCAAATAATTTATTACTTTTTAAAATTCTATTTACTTGAAGTCCCACTCCGATTGTTTTTTTTTTTTCCTCACCACTAAAAGGGTTCTCAGTGGTCTTTAAATTGTGACCATGACGGTTTTAGCCAAAATCACGTTACATTTTTAAGAGTCAGAACTTTTCTGTTTCGCTTCAAAGACTGAATAAAAAAAATGTTGATACCCAAGCCATAGTGTATCTTTTGTGTGTGATGTGAAATTTCACAATATTTAAGTTTATTGAAATGCAAATTGAAAAAAGATAAATAAACAAACAAAAATGCTGAGAAAGTCCTCATTAGGTTTCAATAAACTTAAACCCTGCATTACAGAGCACTGCTTCATTTCCTTTAAAGCAAAATGTACCTTCATACAGTATATATTTGTCTGCATGGATACACTGAACTCTCCTGGATGCACATGTCTATATGTATTTACATTTAGATGCACACACTTTCACCTTTTCAGACCTATACATAATGTGTTTTTTGTACAGTAGTTATTGCTGTACTTTATTAATATTGTTTATTTGTTAAGTAAATAAAACGGGTATCTATTGTCCTCTTGTTGATATCTTTTACTTAGTTTATATCTTGTGTTTTTTCAGTTACACTTTATGTAAAACTAAATTTACCTTAAATGTGTCTAGGGATTTTTAAGGCTTAATTCATGTATCTAAATTGGGTCTTAAAGCTGTTTCCTTAGATAGAATTAATACTGGATACTATGTCTACTTCGAACATGCCTGCGTTTAAACTTGCAGCTTTCTATTCTGCCACTAGAGGGCGTCACAGTCTAATTTTTGATCCTCTTTTGCCCACTTCCTGATTCCTCAGAGCTTTGTCTCCAAGTCTATATTTAACTTTGAGTATCCGCCACATTGAGGGGAAGTCTATCACTTAATATTGTATAAGACTTGGACACTAAACTTTTACATGCTTTTGATCCTTTTTCACATGCAAACATACTTTAAATGTGTATTAATCACCCTGAAATCTTTTTTGAGTCCATCCACAGGAAATATTTAGCTTTTATCTTGAATATTAACTCCCAACCTTTATGCGTATGGTTTTATGTTTTATGTTTTTTTTTTTTTTTTTTGTGTAAATAAGTTAAGAATTATGAGTTCAGTGCCCTCATGGCCTTCCAGGGTTATTAGGTTGTTCTTTTTAGTGTGTACATTTAGGTGAAATTCACATTGCACATGTTGATGTACCCAAAACTAAAAAAAAGAAAAAAAAAGTGTTTCAATAGCAGAGTGTTCCCAGATGTGGTACTAATTCATCCACTGCGGCTCACTGTCTTTCTGTCTCTCCAGCACACACCCCCTTTTAACAGTAAAGTCTCACATATATAGATTTTCCACCTCCCTCCAGCCTGCCAATGTATACATCACAGCCGTACATAATGTACTCACATCATGTACTCTATAGGTGTCCGAGTGAGTGAACACTTCTTTGTTTAGATGGATATAATCTCTTTATGCAGTGAGATCAAAGTTCGAGGAGAAAATTTTTTTCATGAAGGTTTTGCAAATATAATTAATTTAGAAATATGTGAATGTATGGCATAAGCATGATGCATCGAAAAATATCTGTGAAAACCCAGAAGTCCCTTTTACAAATGAGGTCAGTACAAAGACTGAGATGCCTTTGAGCAGGGCATTGATCTCCACTGTCTGCTGCAGGTGACGATGGATTCAGCATACAAATCAGTGAGAGTTAGCTCTCTTAAATGTCTTCAATCTGCACCAGACAAACACAGACAAATGTAACCGTTCCTCTGTGGTGAGCAGCAGCAACAAGAGAGCAGTCCTGAGAACTGCCTCTGCTCTGTCTCTCAGAGTTACCTGATCCATGAGCGGAGTCACATCCAGACCCTCCTTAACGCGAAGGTCAAAATTTCTGGTTCTCAAAGCACGTACACAACACACACACGCGCACACACATACACACATACTGGGTTGCTAAAATGGGCCGTGCAGTTACATAACAGCCGGATATCAGATATGAGGCCTGCAGCTGGCGTCAGGCTCTGGAAGTCAGGCGACTCCTCTGCCAGAATATTAAAACTTTATTTAGCCAAAAATCAGTCTCTATTTCCATTTGATTGTTCCAATCGACCCTAACAATAACTGATTTCAAATAGTTACATAACCAGAAGGATTATCAGAGCCAGGTCCAGCATTGTTGCAGCATTGGTCAGAAGACAGATCGGCACTCATCCTTGTTTGATGTGCAAACTGCAGATCGTGTGACCAAGTGTCTGTTTACGCCTGATGTGTAATCGAGAGTGCTCTGGAGGAAAGACTAAAAATAATGTGTGCTAAAATAAAAATTGTCTGTGTAAGGAAATTCTTTTTGACATACTTTGTAAATTGTTTTTTTATTTTTCAGAGTCAGAGAGTCTCAAACTGATTTGAATCTGGATGTAATCTCTGACTGAGTGAGCACTTTTCTTATCTTGATTTTTCTGTGTCTGTGTCTGTGAAGGAGCTGGCTCATGGTTTGGGAGAGCTGCTGAGCTACGAGGGAAACGTAGAGGAGGACTTCTACCTCACCTTCCAGGTATTGTAATGCACTTCACCTCCAGGAAGTGAAATATGTGTGACTTATTTATAAATTCAAAACAGAGCAAAACCATTTGTTTTCCTTCCTGACATTGTTTTTGACTTTTTGGTTTTGCATTAAAGCGGAAACAAGTGCTTGTGCGTGTAAAGCTAAAAAAGAAAAACAGCTGCATTTGTTAAATTTTATTTGTTTTCTGTGCTTTTAAAAGCCCTCTCTAAATAGACAGCACACACACTCGCAGACACACTCACATGCACACCAGAGATACAGGGACTGAAGTGACTAGGCAGGTCTGATTTTGCTGACAGATGGATGTGACTGCTGTCACTGCTGTGAGATTTTAATAAGGCCTGAAGGGATCTGGATTTGTTCCATTGATGTCATACAGCTGATTAATCAAATTCCATTTGGATATTAATATAAAGTTAGTACAATAAGGTTCTGACAATGATCCGTAGTTTAATGGATTGAAAACCACAGTACATCTTGTTAAGCATGAATTCCTATGTAATAAATTCTCATCCTATAAAAAAGACATAAATCTCACAAATAAAAATAATAGCTGAGTTTAATATCTTTTGGAGATCTTTGTCCACCAATATTTTTTTTTCCACTGGCAGCACCCATTACCTCAATTTCAGAGTCCCTAGTGTTGTTACCAAAAGTGCTCCATAGCAGAACTACTCCCCTCAAAAGTGACTGCCATGTCTGTTTTTATTGTGTTTGTAAAAAAAAAAAAAAAAAAAACTCCTTGAACTTCCTGTCATTCTTGTTAACAAAGTTATTATCTGGTGTACGAAGATTGCGTAGCTCACCTTGGGAATACACTGTTTGAGCCGAGCATCATCACAGCGACTCTCCCGCCGAATGCGTACAATGCTACTGTGGAAGTGGTGGAGTGCATACAAATCTACTGCGCAATGTTAGTTTCAGTAAGTGGAGAAAATACGTGGAAAATACAGAGAGCTTTTTGGCTTCAAATCTGTATACTGATGGAAGGCAGAACCAAGTTGTCCATAGTTTATACAGTCTATGGGAGTTACCAAATACAGCTGACACTAAGGGTGATTTTGTGCTCCAGATGCAGTTCACCGGGAACATTAACTGTGCTGGTTTTAACGAGCATAGGTGATGCTTAAGAAAAAAAGAAATCAAAGATGTTAGTGGACACAGGCCCTATTATTTTATTTTATTTTGTGGTCATATACATGTATTCAGAATGTTTTGGATCCAAATTTTACTGTGTTATTGACCAACCTTGCTTGATACAACAATAAGCTATACCTTATCCATCACAGTTACATAATATCAGTAATTTTTTTGGTCATCTCAATATCGTCCTACATCAAGTTATTAACATAAAAAATGTTAGTTACTTCTAGAAATGGCATCAAAAAAAGCAAAAACTTTGATATATGCTTTGGCAGACCATTTCCATTTACAGAGTTCTTACTGTTGCTTTAGTAAGTTTCCTTGTGACACGGATCAGTGAAGAACTTTAGGTAAAGATTAGTTAAGCAAACAGATTATGTAAAGTTGATTTTTGAAAGTAACATCGTCTTTTATCACCGATGTTTACTTAGCAGAGTGAGATCTCTGCAAACAATCTCAGACTTAAGTAAAGCTGTGTGACAGGCCGGTGTACTTCCTGCTTTGAGACACAGCAGACTGAATTCACAGCAGAGAAGTGTTCAACTTCCTGGATACTCATATTATCAGACTGGAACAGGAATGCTGACAATCTGCTCCATTTTTCCTGTGAAAACAACATTTCCTCCCTGAAGGTTAACAATTGAGATTATCACTGTGCTAATTGTGTAATTTATTTCAGACCTGCAATAATTAATTCAAACAAATCAATAAAAAACACCAAAAGCATAACAAGAAAATACTTATAACATCACAAGTAACACTGGCTTCTTTAAAATTCAGAGGTTCCTGTGCTCCACAAACATCACAGAGTTCCTTATACCATGTTTTACGTGACATGACATCAGCAGGTTTCATGAAGCAGGTCTGTCAGACCAGGCAGAGTGTGGTTACCAGGTATAATGGAGTGCTTTATGGTCCAGCGGGAGGCCATATACGCAGCAGGAACATACATGTTATGTAAAAGCCGAGGTGAAGGTGTTGTTTTAACCCACAGCAAGAGCTAACAGTCTGAGCTACAGGCCGGCCAAAGTCACACCACTGTGGTGCAGATGAACCCACTGACCTGCAACACACTGACACACTCTTTCTCTGTAGTTTCCTGTGTGTCACTTAGTCACCCTCACTTCTGCTTTTTCTGTATATACTTTTTCCAGCATTGATGTGTGTCTCTTTGCCTGTATTTATGCTCCTCTGTTTACTGCAAACATATACTGCAATCTGTTCCAGTGCTCACCATACCTGCAGCCCTTAACCATCAGCTAAACTTACATCTAACCATAAACCCAAGGTTTGTTTATGTGCCTCTTATGAAGCATGTCCTTGTTGACCAGAGATTAGAAATTGAGATAAATGAAACAAATTTATTATATTAAACATTGTAACCACTAGTATGCTTGAAGCTTAAGCACACTTTAAAGCCAAGCATCTTTTACTAGATCTTTAAATCCTTACAATTATGAAATTTTAGCTTTATCTTAGCTGAGCACAGCAGCTTCCTGGGGTCTAATCTTCGCATTAACGTTTTGAGTGGACAGAGTGTCAGGGTAATGTTGGGTTGGTAATTTATTTGTTTTCAGTGGAAGTATGCTCTCTCTCACTCAGCAGCTGGAAACACTTGGAAAATGTATCCCAGTGTAAATTATACGTCACAAAACCAAACTTGTGAGCTGAATAAGAAACAGAGACATGTTTATCACCAAGGAGGTTTCACATAAAAAGAACTTGTGTTGATAATTTTGTCTTTGGCCATAAATAGCATGTACAGAAAAAGAAAAAAAACAGACAGTATTGACAGACTTTTATCAAAATTTATAAAAATGGAGTCTACAAATTATTCTAAAAAGAAAGCACAGTCTATCTGTTCATACAGTGAAATGAAAAAGCTTTAAAGTTTTATGGGTGTGTGCAAAGTTTATCGTGCGAAATACAGAGGGAATGTGTAATGTACCGATTTGATAATCACACGTGCTTTAATGCAGCACATCACACTCAGATGGGGAGTCTCAACGTATTGCCAAAATGGTATAGCACTGAGAGGAAGTGAGGACAACACGAGAGTCAGAGGAGAAAAATCTACCAGTGATTATAAAGCACTTCTTTACAGTACTGATGTGTGCGGTGGAGGTTTAAAAGCTTCCTTATACTGCCCTTAAGGTACAAGTATTTTGGGTCTGATAGTGAAAAGCATGTTTTAGCAGGTACTATGATTTCTCGAGGCTTTCTAACTTTCTAACCATGAATCTCCTGCAAGGTGACAGTTTACATTTGTGCATAGAGAAAGGAAAAGTTATGGATTTAACAATGATGTTTTTTTTTTTATGCCAAAAAAATAGCTCTATGAATAAATACAAACACAGACACTGTCTTTGTAACACTCTACTTTGTGTGCATTTCCGGTCTTGCAGGTGCTGCAGGAGGAAATGGGCATCGCCAAGTCCTACAACCTGAAGCCTGGAGGAGATAAAATCCCTGTCACCAAGCAGAACAGGAAGGGTGAGTCCAGGCTCAGAGGCAGAACAGGGACTTCATATTTCAGCAGTGAATGACCTCTGTGCTGTTCACTGTGAGTCAAGAAATGTGCTCTGTGACACAGACCACCTTTATACCTGTGCTAACCTGCTTCCTGCTGGTTTATGAGACTCCAGTATGCATAAATACGAAAGTTGCATAAAATCCAGGAAGAGGAGCATGGTCAAATGTAAAATCAGATATTTACTTTCTTTTGTCATTAATCACTCAGTAATTTAAAAAGTGTTTCATGTTGTTCTTTTTTTTTTGTCAAATTCCTTTTATTTTAAGACTTAAAACCCTGACCTCAGCAGGACAACATTATAGATTTGACAGCAGACTTTAAAGGGAAAATTTTAGTAATACGCTGTGAGGTCACAACTGACGAAAACTCAGATAACTGTGACTTTTTTATGACTCACACAGTCTTTTCTTGGCAGTTTATCTATTTGAGGGCTCAAAGATCTGTTTATTTAGAATTTTCACCTGAAGCAAAAGCTACAGTCACTCTAGTGCAACACTAAACAGTGAGCTTATGAAGCAATCTGATCATTTCAGCCTATTATACTGAAACTCTTAAATACATCACAACACCTCCCCAAGTTTAACATAATTCTGCAGCTTTAAGAAGAATAAACTATTATACAGTGTCCATCGATGACCATGTTTGATTTGCCTTTGTATGAAGATTTTAAAAGTTAATAAAAACCTTGATACAGTGGCGTAGAAAAACCAATAACCTCTACCATTTTGGGATATGGCAAATACAAAAACATAAGCTTTAAAATCAACTCGCTACCAACAGAGAGACCTGCTGCAGCTCAAAAGCTTCTTTGTTCCATTTCAATGGATGAAGTTAAGATTTATTTCTCTTATTAAAACTCATTTTCCATCCAGCAGCTCTTAGCTCCGGCTCCCTGTTTCTTTCCCCCTGTGCGCCCAATAGAAGAGCCAACAGTGGAGGGGAAAATGGTAAACGTTTGTAATGGAAACAAGAAAATATCACACTGTTCTGTTCCTCTCCTCTCTCCACAGAGTACGTCCAGCTCTACGTAGACTTTCTGCTGAATAAATCCATTTACAAACAGTTTGCTGCCTTCTACCACGGCTTCCACAGTGTGTGTGCCTCTGATGCTCTCATGGTGAGTCCGCAGTAAGTGTGTGAGTGTACATGTGTGTGTGAATCTTACATGAAGGCTTAAAAAGACTAAATGGTGAGTTGGATCTGCTGCCTGTGATACAATGTCAGTGGTACATTCTTTCAAGGTCAAAGGAATCACATATATTACAGTTGACAAACATACAGCACAGTACATGCAACAGGACATACATATAAAGTGACAACAGTGCTTGGGGGTAAGAGATTAAAATGAATCAAATAAGAAAGAATAAAACCCAGTAAAACGGAATAAAAACAAACATCTCTCAAGGTTTCTTCCCTGTGTTAATGTTCCTGATGGCTGATGGAATAAAACTATTTTGTACCGCTTGGTTTTACAGGCTGGTACCTTGAGCCTCCTGCCTGATGGGAGCAGCTTGAACTCAGCATTGAGAGACTGGGAGCCATCATTTAAGATGGAGCCAGCCATCCTCTGTAACTGCTTAGTGGACAGGGACAGTGGGCAGAGCTGGGCCTCTCCAATCAGCCTGCTCGCCCATTTCACTATTTGGTTAAGACAGTTTTTGTTTATAAGGGACAAAGTCCTCCAGTCCTTCCATATCAGAAACCAAATAAGATGGAAAACCTGTGTACTTTACTATTTTCTAAAGAATTAAGAGTTTTAAAGTTTTAAAGAGGTTTTAAGTTGTGTAAATGTGTGAATATTCGTAATAACTGTGATATCAGTATCAGTCAAAATAATCATGATTAGGATTTTTGCCGTAATTGCAGCCCAACTTTTTGAGTACTTTACATTTCTGTCATCTTAACTTCATTTAGCCTAAAGCCTTACATTTACTGTTGCTACAACTGCATTTGTTTTGCTTATTTCCGCAAACACAACAGTTCAAAGAGTGCATATTCAGCTGTCCCCAAGGTTCCCTTCACACAACAAGATACCTGAATCTCAACACTGAGCATGTGTAACAAATGTGGTTTTAAAATTGGGCCATCAGTCCTGTAGTGTGCACTCCACTTTAAATGGTTCAAATTAAAGGCTGAAAAGAAGTGTTTATCTTTAGTGTTTTTGTTTTGATCATCTCTTTCACTGCTTTTCCCCAAAATTAACAATATATCAGATTCAAGATTTTCAATTTTATCAACCATTGATTTAAAAACTGTACAACATTAAGCATTGAGCAAAGGCTGAATGCACTCAGAGGAGGTCAGATCCTATATAGTTCAACAGTTCATCAGTGGCTTGTTACCAGGTATACATTTCCTGGAACATCTGAATCATGCAGATATCAGTGAAAGCATCCTTTCCTGGCAAGAACTGTGGTATAAATAGCTCCTCTTTACGTTGATCACTATTTTGTTGGATTTGGGAGTGTAGGATGTTTAACTTAGCCCATGAGGGAGGAGAAGAAGGAGAAATCAAACAAAGACATTTGCCTGAAAATGGAGTTCAGGCAGTATATCATGTTTGCCCTCTTCCTTCATCAAATGTTAGCTTTCGGTGATAAAAAGCTGCTGACTGAAATCGGATGGTGTTGTTGTTTGTTGGGGCCCCAGAGAGGGTCAAAGGCCCCAGAGAAACCCAGCTAGAAAGTCCAAAACATGCACCCAACCTGTGAACATATATGTTGTTTCCACCTTAATTTAAAGTCTTTAATACACTTAAGCTTTGTGTCACCTGTGTTTCCCTGCCGTGTTTTTATTAAAAGCTTTAGGTTGCCATAAAGGCTACCAAAAAGAGAAAGAATAGTGAACAGTGAAATATTTGCATACAAAGGGGCTTGTTTTAAAATCAGTTAAATCTGAATGTCGTCTAGCCTTCGTCTGCAGGTAACAATAATTCAGTCATCTGGCAGGCGTGGCGTATCAGGCGGAACAATCAACATCTTTATTACTCAGCAGGTGTGTCTTGGGCTAGTCCTGTCTAAAGGTCACTCAGAAATATGACGTTATATGAGAGATATGTTTATCACGCACTGGTCCATAAGTCTAATTAATACTTGATACTAAAGGAGCCTTACACAGTAAGCAATGATTGACAGAAAATGTGAACATGACTGTTGAAAACATGAGTACTTCTTCTTCTTCTGCTCTGATGCCATATCTTCTGATTAGATGTTTGTAGATCCCCAAGTATTCAGTTATTTAGTTTTGTTTTTCAGACTTAATCCCAGAGATTTCTCTTAGTTTAGACATTTCTAAAAATACCCCTGACACTGTGTCCGTTTCAAAGCAAGAGCCCATGACACACTTCTGCATGTTAATGTTTGACCTTTCACCCCTGCTGTCTCAAGTTCAGGGTCAAGAAGGCAGTTAAGTCCACAGTGAACTTCACAGGAATGTGTTTTCTGAAGTGTTTAGTTGAGAGTCCCTCCTCTGCAGCTCAATGGAATAACTGTGTGTAAAAGTCAGCTGATAAGACAGTCAGACGGACAATTTGACCTTATCAGTTCAGAGGCTGGATCTGGGTCAGAGAGGAAGACAGGCTGATCCAAAATATGAAGACTGATAGAGGGAGGACACATCCCAGCTGTGTGGAGGATAACTAATACCTGAACTATGTTTACTTGTCTGCTTGGATCTGCCGCCTCCCTTTCAGGACTCTCAAGATTTTTAACTAGGTCCTCATTTAAAGTCAGTTATCTGGAATAAACATCTAGTCACTATCAGAAATCTTTTTTTTTTCCCCTATAGATATTGAATTGAAGGTTAATGATTAGTTTAAGGTCAAAAGATGAATTCAAAGTTTTTCACGTATGTCCGAAAAGAACTAGAATCACATGGCGGCCATTGTACTGAAAGGTCACTCTCTCAGTCAGTACGTTTACATGACACTAGAAAACCGAATTGTTGCCTTACTCTGATTAAGACCAGACAACTGAAGTGCATGTAAACACCTTAGTCCAACTATAATCAGAGTTTGAGAACTCTGATTGGAGTTGGAGAACTCCAATTAAGACACCCAAATAATGCCATTGTTATTTGATTTTCTCTACCATGTAACCAGTGTAGTTGGAGTATGATTGGACAGTGCGTGTGCACGTGCGCTGCACCCCTGGAACCCCAGAACAAAAACACCAGAGAAGAAGAGTAGTAATTTGGACTTCAATTACATTTTAAAATTGTTAAGCGTGTTTGTGCTGACAGCCCCTGTAGTTATTATTTGTTATAAGACTTACAGTGATAGGTCTTGTTTTTTTAAATGAACAACAAACCAGGTATGGATTTTTTAATTAGGAGTATGGATAGGAGAAATAATGAAAAGCTTTTTTTATTATTAATGTGAATTTATCTTTGTACTCTTGATATTTATCAATATTTTTGGTAAACTGTGTGTGTGTAAAGAGTTGAAAGTGACCATTTTTGCATGTGGGCTGGCTAGATCAATTTTGATGTCAATTGGTAACCAAACTTTTTTTTTTTTTTTGAAACACCTCACTATCTTGTCGATGTGCTCAGATGTACAATTTCACAAACTATAAAAGAATATGGAAAACATTTCTTACACTTCAACAGTTTTATTCTGCAGAGCTCTCAGTCGGTCTCTCCTTTGACTGCTTCAGTCACGTCAACAGTGTGTGACGATCAGGATGTGATCAGAGAGGCCTGGGTGTATGTACGTGTGTGTGGTTTGGTGGTGTCGTCTTTTTCAACATGGGTATGTGTGTTTAGGTTGTGAAACACAGGTTAGAGTTTTTGGTTCTGAGTTCATTTGAGTGTCAGACTTTGGTGTTAGGGTCCTTTTTTCTTTTTTTTCTTTTTAATGCGTCAAACAGGATGTTTCAAACACTTATATAATCTTCTGTTATGATTCATGGACTGACCCACATATGTAACCTGCTGAGCTCTACTTCTACTGTCTAACCCTGACACATTGTGGTTAGTGACTTTCTCATGGTTATAAACAGGAAACAGGGACTTTCAAGCAGACTGACATACTTTTTTTTTATCAGCTGCTGTAATGAGTCTGAACTTCCTCTTTCTTCTCTTAGTTTACTGGTTGTGTTGCTCTTGCAGAATGCTCTTACACCAATGAAGCAGAGGATATGAGTGTTGCAGCTGACGGCTGTTGCGTTTTAATGGAAATGACTCTGAGAGGCATATATTGCATGTATGGGATCGTCGTAATGCTTCACAGTGCAACCTGGAGCCTGACAATTGCTGTACCAGAGTTAGAAGCATGACCTGCTGGTTTCCAGCCACAGATTACTGAGGAACTGTAATTCTGAGAAGCACATCTATGTATAGTTGGTGAATCTCGGTCCAACACAGAAGTATTTGGCTTACCTCCATGTGGGATGTCCAGAAAATTATGCATCAATGAAATCTTTCTCCAAATATGTGTCAAGATGAATTTTACTTAAGAAAACATCATTGTGTGGAAGTTCATTAGAAGACTTTCTAATAGAACTATATCTATTTTTACTTTATTACTGCATTTAATGTTGTCTTGCGTTGTTCTGCAGTCTTAATTGTTGTTTTCAGTTATTTTCCTATACATGCACATTTGAAACAGAAAATCTAATCCCCAAAAACTACATGTGCACAAAGGTTCTGTGTTATGCACAAACAATTAAGAGTGAAGATACAATCTTTTCTGGTGTTTGCAGTTGTTGCGGCCAGAGGAGGTTGAGATGCTGGTGTGCGGGAGTCCTGAGCTGGACATGAGTGCTCTGCAGAAAGCTGCTCAGTATGAAGGATACAGCAAGACCGACACCACCGTACGGTAGGACTGTTGACTGACACTTACCTGCAAGTCTGCTCCACATGTAACAAAATCTTCACCTCTAGTCTAGTTGAACTTTTTTTTTTTTTTTTGAAGAAAGTCTGCTTTCAAATATTCATGTTGAAAGTATAAACAGTCAGAAAGTCAAGATATGAAGACTTGCCTCTTAACAAAATGAGGTTTGTTCTGTCTCAGTTTTTTTATTTTGTGATAGTTGACAAATGGTTTGCAGCATTTTTAAACTGCACACAGGCAAGGCAGTAACAGGAAGGAGCCCTCTGTCTCTCTCTCTTCCTCTCTTTCACACAGACACACACACATACACATACACATACACACATACACACACACGCACACACATAAACACAGATGTCCTTCAGTCCTTTTGTTTCTCACAGAAAAACCAGCCAATACTTGTCAGGCACAGATAATGTAACCCAGCACTGTGCTGACAGCTCACAACAGACAGCTGCAGGCCAGTTACACAACATCAAAACTGTCTGTCTGACAATCACCTGATTGTTTCTCAATCAAGGATTTTACTAAATAAAGCAAACATTCAGGTTATGATTTTTTTTTCTGTTATATTATAAGCATTAGTTATCTTAGGTAGGGCATGAAAAATACATCTTTTACAACCATGATAGATTTAAAAAAAAAAAGCTAAAAGCTTCAAATCTTTGGCAAAAGTTGACCCATTATTCTCATCCAGTGCTATGAGCTGATTTTTCTGCGATGTATCTGTGTTTGATTAGTTTTTTTGTTTTGCACTAGGTGTTTCTGGGATGTTGTGTTGGCCTTCCCTCTAGAGCTGCAGAAAAAGCTCCTCCACTTTGCCACAGGAAGTGACCGTGTTCCTGTTGGGGGAATGGCTGACCTCAACTTCAAGATCTCTAAAATCGATGTTCCAACTGACTGGTAAGTTCAAATAAATGGCCCAAAACATATGAGGAATGGAGCACGGCTTGTCAAAAGAAACACCTCTTATAACATTTAGTATCTCCTGCAATGTTTGACATCAACCATCACTGATTGAACAAATCGTCTACCTCCTTAGTCGCTGACTGGATTGTCTGTGTTTGAGCCTGCCAACAAACTGTATGTGAGGTATTACCATTAGAAATGTCACTTGTATTGTCTGTACTGAAGTGACTTTATTTTAAAGGTGAAGTAGCTCTCAACCACAGGAGACACCACAAACTGAGCTTCAACAACAAAACCCTTGAAACTCTTTATGTGAAAGAAGAAAGATAAATATTTATAAATTTATACACAGTGATAGCCTAAGCTGGATGACTGGACGAGCATGCAAACAAAACAAACTTTTATTTTCCATCTTTGAAACTGGAAAGAAACCTGCACTCTGACATTTGCAGAGTCGGCCTACTTAGACTTCAACAAGATGAGACTGATGGTAGATTATTACAGTTACACAGGCTTCCATCTCCTCATTAGTTCACAAGTTGCAATGATACACTAGATCAGGGGTTCTCAACCTTTTGCGAGCTGGGCTCCCCCAAAGGTGGTTCAATGCAGTTGATAATAATAATAATAATAATAATAATAATAATAATGATAACTATTATTATTATTGTTATTATTATTATTATTGTATTGTCATCATCATCATTATTGTTATTATTATTATTATTATTATTGATGCTCTGGCAGCACTCACAACTTAAAATTTTGAGTGTTACTCACTGATACTCAGTATTTCTACATAGGCAAGTTGTCTGACTGCACTTCTGCACCCTGGCTGTATGTCTGTTTTTCTTTGCTCTCTGTGCTAAATATTTGCTTCTACATCAGCCTTTTTACATTGACAAAGGAAACATAATGTAGAGGAATCTGTCCTGGAGTGAGCTGCAGCTTGAATCTGTAAATTCTGTGATACCGATTGCGGCCGTGCTCCAAAAGTTAAATCATCTCAAACTCTATGCACTCAGAGTCCTGCAACAAGAAACAGCAGTTAATTGCACTGGTGCTATGTAAAAATGCCATCAGCGGACACGGGCTCTTAATATGTTCAGGGTTTGCTGTGTCATTTAGTATGTTTCCATAATGCTTTTATGTGATATGTTAACATGTTATATTAAAGTGATTTTGCATTTACTTGACCAAAATGTTGCAAGACTTTTCAAAGTGATGTTTTACTATCCATAATCATTCCTCTCTCCTTGTTTGTCCCTGCAGGCTGCCGATTTCTCACACCTGTTTCAATCAGATCTGTTTGCCACCCTATCGAACCAGGAAGGAGCTCAAGCACAAACTTACCATCGCAATCTCAAACGCCGAGGGCTTCGGCCTTGAGTGACAGGAAGGAACACAATCCGTCAGCGATACTAGCCGCATGATCTCCACAAAAAAAGCACCTTATGTCTCTCTGTGATGGTGGATCGGACTGTAATGGGATCAGATTTCTCATGGAGTGCTCTGTAATGTCAGACAATTATGGACTGTAATGCAAGTTTGTCAGACATGACTTAGTTTGTCTTTGTTGGCGTCTTTCTCCTGCTTCACAGCTACACAGGAAATCCTTAAAGATATTAATGCCATTAAAAGTTACAAAGAAAGATCATTGTGAAAATGGTAAATCAGAGCCTCAGTTGTAACAATATGCCTGGTTAGAATTCACTGAAAATACTGCAAACCATACGCCACCAAAAAGAAATAATACATTATTTTCAATAGGATCGTGGTTTGTTCAGGCTATTCTTATCAGTTTGACTATTTATTATTCAGAAAACCAGATTATAGCCACCAGGATGCATGAGAGTAAATTAGGAGTTTGCCTACATTAGTCAAGTCTAATTTACATTTTCAGGACTTGTCTCCTATGAGTTTTAGCTGACCACCTAGAATAAAACTGTCATGTCCAAAATGTGTTAGAATTTCCAAAGACTCACACAAAGTCACAACTGAATGGAACATTTTTTTTTGGACAGAAAAAAAAATCTATATAACTTGGAAACAAAAAGTGTGAAGTAATCTCATGAGAACAACGACAGCACAACATGACAGTAAAAAAGCAGGGAAAAGATTACTAAGAACATTTTATTAAGTTGTATAAATCTAATATTTTATGTATTTTTTCTCTCTGACTTCAATGCTTTTGTGACTTTTGGGTATATTTTTTATAAAGGCATAGGAAATGTGTTTTATATCGTTTTGCTTTGTTTGCAGCACACTGTTGGGATGTAAAGCTTTGCTGGGAGAAGTTTGCTTTTGTGTATTCTGAGTTAGAGAGCGTCTTTTGGGGTGTTTGATGTTGCTTTTTGACATTGCTTCCTGTTTTGGTTTTAACAGAAGGCTGCAGCAGAAAGGCTTTTAATGTTGTGATATTGTTGTAACAGGTTGGAACAGAGCTGTAATTTCTCAGTTCAGTGTATTTTTTTGGTTTTCTTGTGTTGTTAAAAAGGAACATGGCTGCCCTCAGGCTTGGAGATGACCACCAATGCAGCCAGAAGTTTGTAGATGTTGACTGTAAGTTGAGTAATGAATTGTCAGACTGGTCGCTTGCGTATGGATGGAGTGTGGGAATTTAATTTTGTATCATGAGCTCAAAGCATTTTAAATTAAGCACCTGTTGGATTCACTGCTAATACATTTTGCCATTGCAAATATCTTTGAAAAACAAATCTACCTTATGTCTAAAAATACCACATTTTCTACCTTTCCATTGCTACAAAAGACTTTCTTCTAGCGTCCACTCCTAACAGTGATAAGATAGAAACCTTAATGTAGCCATACTGACTGAATTTTAATGTTTATGAAAACATGGCAACTCTCAATCTTCAGATCTGTAATGCAGACATCTTTAGCCTCTTTTTACATGGACTGTGTATGTGTAAGTGTTTTGTCTCTCAGTTTTGAGTTTCATCTTCCTTCAAGATGTTTTCCTACCATTAAGATTCAATAAACACGGATCTTTATGGGCAAAATCCTCTGGCTCTAGTTCTTCAAAAGGGAGCATTTTAGCAAGCTCAACATACCAAAGTATCTTTTGGTTATCTGGCCTCACTAACCCTGACAGAGTAGACGGTGCTAAAGCCAGTTATCAACCTGATAACTAGCAGTGGGTACATTCACATGAACAGGGAGGTGGAAGCAACATCTGACTAATCACAAACATGAGCAAGTCAACCATTAGATTATAGGATAGGTTGATAGCATGTTACTATGGCGATCAACCCAGCTAATAAGTAGACCACTTTCATAGAACTGAGTACCAGTGAATTAATAAGTGCAAACCCCACTTTGCTGTTTACCTTCCAGGTTACTGGTGTAATATGTACTGTTGAATTATTTCCATTGAAAATCCAACAATAAACAAAGAACATCAGTCGTGACACTTCCATTCAGACCTCACCCTTATTTTCGACCATGAATCACTTTAACTGTGGTGACAGATGTCATGATTCAGTGACCTGTTGAGGTTTGACAGTTGCATCAGTTGCTGATTAACTACAGTATCTTGAATGAAGGTTTGGTTTTGACCTAGTTTAAGGTATGATGAATACTAAACCCACCGTTCTGTGTAAGTTTCAATCTTGAATCGACCTTGAATCGACAGAATTGATTTCTTAATTCAGTGTAAACATGCAGCAAAAGGAAACAAGAGAAAGACAACCATGATCTGGGTATAAAACATCAAGCTAAAACATACGTAAAGCTGTACAGAAGCTCTGGATGTGATCAAGAAGAAAAGCAAAGAAGGAAGGATGTGACAAGTGATTGAACCCCCCTTAGTATGTTATTTGTGACATGATCTCAGCACTGGTTGGCGCTCTGATTTGAGCCTGAAGCTAGCCTATAAGCAGCAGGTTTGACCCCTTACCATGACCCTTTGCTGGATTCCACCCCCTTTCTCTGCTCTCACACTTCCCACCCCTTTTCAGCTGTTTTCTCTACTAGAAGCCAGAAAGTCAGGAAAAAATAACAGGAGACCTATGATACTGATTAATAATCTAATTCATTTATAAAACTGTGTCACTGTCAAATGGCAAACTCATAAAACAGTGTCAAATGTCCATACTAAACCTCAGCAAAGTTTCCTACCATGGGATACACAGATAATGGCGTAACCCTGGACTTGTTTTCCAGCTTCTCTAAATTGCTGGTTTTGAAACATGGATGACACAGAAGCTTATATGCCGTTGAAATTATTATTTTTTTTAGATGCAAATAATGTAATTTCAATTTGTGGCTCTTCTTCACAACTTAAAAATGAAGAATCCCAATGTGTAAATCATTTAACAGAGTGAAAATCTGTTTAAAGAGTGCCTTTTTAATCAGTAACATCTTCCACAGTCGGTTAGAAAATTGCATAATACGGCAGCCTTGATTTATGCGTCACAATTACTGGTGGCAGTAGCGTCCAAAACACTCTGGTATGGCTTTCATGCTGCAACTGGTCTAGAGCTAACACTTTGCAATCTCTTATGTAAGGTTTCCATGGCGAGACATCTTAGGCCCCAAAGACGAATTGGCAGGAAACCCAGGAGTTTCCAAGCAACAGTGAAGTGGCTTGTGTGGTAGAGCCTTCCAAACCCACATGAGTCTTATCTGGGTCAGTTATTCAGTGGGTCTCCCCGGGCGTCTATAGGGTCTGAAAGAGATCCTTATTCCACAATGGGTCTTTTTTTTTAACATCTACGGACAAGTCCAGAGCAGCAGTGGGAGCCAAAGCGGGGAGCTTCTCCAAGCATCTGATTAAAAAAGGACTTCATGCCAAGTTCATCAAGCTGCTGACTCAAAAAATGTCTGCAATCTTGGTCTGCATACAAAGGGGACAGGAAGTGAGAAATGTTGCAGGAGGAACTTTTAAAAAACAAGATAGCAAGATCTTTGAAAAGTTAAATGGTAAGACGCTAATCAAACCCATGTCACTTTTATGTGAACAGACATGACCCATGTCAGCTTATACAGTGGGGTAGCAGCAAAACAATCTCATACTGAATTTCTCAAAAGGATTTTAACCTTTTTCATCTGTTTGAATGTCACGTTTGAATTAAAGGCACGTGTTTGGATCAAGTTCAAAAGTTCCAAGTGGTCATTTTTTTTTGTTTTTTTTTTAATTGATGAACAGATAATAACCTTCACTATCTTTGCTTTCTGTCCAATCTTTTGAACACTTTGTTCAGTTGGGTAAGTTTCTCCTGAGTGAATGACCGTGTGTGACCCATTTCTCCATTTCTGTTAACATGTTTTGCTTCTATCTTGTCCAGGTCTTATATAATACTGTATATGTATTGCAGTATTCCCAAAAGTACACAGTAAAGGTGGACAAAGGGTCAGCTGTTTCCAGATAAAGTGGTAGACTCTGTGCTTTCTCAGGGTCCACCTTGATACATATTCGTGCCCATCTTCACATTCACAATAAAGGCTCCATAAGAGTCATAGACCTCTGCTGTCAGTGAGCACTTGCATGGCTATGGCTTTATAAAAATGCTGTAGTCACTTTGAATCTAAGATTAACTGTTATGAAAAGGCTGTATATATAAATATTCTGTTAACAGTAATGAATAAAATATTCAAGTTTGATTTTCTTGAGTAGATATGGGAAACTCCAGTGAACATATTTCAGAAATCTTACAGATCATGAAACATGAGAGGGCTCTCATCATTTCATCGCAAAAGCAAGTGCAACTCTCTGCCAGGCAAGGTTCTACATGTATTTGAAAACTTTCTTTTGTTTGGATAACATCGAACACTGTAGGCACAAATTTTGTCCACAAAAAAGGCAGAAGGCACTTCTGACAAACTACAGGGAGCCTGCTTTTCTAGCAAAGTATTTGGTCTATGGTGAGCAGATTCCAGCGCTCATAAGCAAGCTAATTATGATACTAGCTTTCATCATGCCCTCTAAAAAAATTTGTGTCTGAGAGCTGAATAGCTCCTATTTAAGCTGCTACTTCTACAACACAGGCACACAGGTATTGTAATTTTGGCTACAAACTTCATAATCACAATTTAAGGACAACTGACAACATTTAAAGTAGAAAAAGAATAAAATAAACAATCGGTGTCGGACTTTAAGAATCAATACATGACTTGATGTCAGGAGTGATCTTCTGTCCACAAACGCTGAAGATTAGATATTAAATACATATGATTATCATATATGTTGGTAATAAAAAGGAAAGCTGACCTGATCATTATACAAAAAAATAAAAAAATAAAAATCTGTCTGTTGTCTGTTTGTAGACCTGTTTTTGTTTTTACATGTTTCAAAATAGACAATTTCATTTAATTTCAATTAAATTAGCAGTTTGCTCCTATAGACTATAAAGCTGGTGGGTTCAAAAACCTGTGTTGAAGGCATAGGCCATATCAGGCCTTCAAACTTGTTAATTAGAATCAAATTTAATTTAGAAATGAAAGTGCAAACATTATTTCTTCCTGGAAGATGTAAGGTGAAACATGACATTTGAAGTAGATATTTAACAAACGTCTTAAGCTAGCCTGTTTGATTCCTTTGTAAATGTTGACTCTGTATCTCAGTGTGCACAGTGTTGTTGGCTCCAGATGGAGATTATGCATATTCTTCAAGTCATTCACTGGCTCTCACCATCAGTCTATAGGGTCTGAAAGAGATCCTTGTTCCACAATGGGTCTTTTTCATCATTTATGGACAAGTCCAGAGCAGCTCCTCCGAGCATCTGATTAAAATACGATTTCATGCCAAGTTCATAAAGCTGCTTATATCTTTCAGTTCTATTGACTGTAAACTTGACCTTTTGTATCACACGTACAAAAACATGATGAAATCAAATGAGTTTAAATCAGATTACTTTGGATCATAACCGTACACAAGCTTATTAAGTATCCTGAGCTTACTACATATAATATTTTACATACTGGTATTTCCTTTACTTGCATTTAATTACTAGACAACATTCAGTCTCTGTGCACATATGAAACCTCTTCATAGCTATTCTTGCCTTAATGAATCTGAAACTGTAGCAGCAGCAGTAGTTCTCCTCCTAGGATTTGGTTTATCTGCTCTGGCTGCTTATATAACCAAAATACTGGCAACAGTCGCTCAACTTAATATTTGTTTTTGCATAACTAAGAAAGAACTCTATGTAAACTAACAAAGTTCAACAAATCAACTAGGGGGTGGCTGTCAGGGCTAATAGTTTGTCATGATTTGCTGCATTGGGCTATGATATAATATATAACACCAAAAACCTAAACCGATTCACTGATTTATTCAAAATAAGTTACAGAGCACATGTGACAATTCATGGATTTTCGCAAAGACTGTGGTGCATGGAAGTGGTTTTGCAGTCAGACGGATCATTTGTTTTGGTATAAGAGATGATAAACAAACCAGTCTCTCTTCACTGGGCTGGACTGGCAGGTTTACAAGTACCCAAGAGAAATTGGCACCAAATGGTCCCTAGCACCACACGTACAGGGCCTCGCCTTCTAGTTACATAAAATAGCAGGGCAAGAACAAACACGGCACAGCTAAACAGCCAGAGGGCCTCTGCAATTTTAGAACAAAGATGGTAACGTGTATTTGATGCACCTAAAATCCTGTGCAGAGCATGAGACCTGTGGCATGCAAAAAAAAGTCAACTTTAGGAAAGCAGCAACATGATTCAGTCTTCGATCTTTTATACAGTGTATGCGACAGTGAAACAGCAGTATTCTAGCACTTTCTACTTTTTTTTTGTCCTAACTTAACTTGTTTCTTCAAACTGGCTGGTTCTGTAGCTGGTAACAAGCTCATCCAGACCCCTCTGCTGACAAAACACAGGAGCATAACTTTGTGATAGAGATTAAAACGGGATCTTACTTCCACCAGCTAAAATGAACACAACCAAAGGTCGCCTTATAATGCTCTCATGTTGCTACTTTGATCCTAAAGGGATACTGTACTTAACAGGAGAGTCTACAGTGCCGAAGATTAACCATAAAAGGTCACTGACTGCTACATAAACACACATGCACTCAGTTTGTGTGTCTCTCTCATTTATATGGAATAAAACTAATTCACTGTTTCTCTAGAAAGTTTCTTTTCTTCCGTTTTAGTCTCTCCCTCTCTTCCTCCGTGAGTGAGCTGTCCTACTTTAATGCCTGGAATGGCGGATCTTATCGTTTATTAAACAAACAGAAATATGTAGGCCATGGCCAGCCCAGCTTTGTCACTAAGTAACCCAACAACAGTCCACCATTATCTGTTTATTCACGGAGACAGGGCAGGCTGCCTCAGCAAATTTCAACCCTATTAATTCCCAAAAATAATAACTGTATTACAGTACCAACTGTTTTGACAGTGACCTTTATTTGGCCCACTTTTTTAATTGTCTGTCGCTTAACAGATCTCTAAACTCTCTGTACTGAGTCAAATACAGATGATCCCTCTTATTGATCTGTTACTGTCATGTTTACACATGAATGGGATACATCAGGGGAGGAGTGGGGATGGTTGTGTAGGTATTGGTGGCTTGTTATTGACACTAACTCAGTTACACTCCATGAACTCCTTGTCAGACACAACATGTCCCTTGTGTTAATATTTTAGATTTTTTAAGGGGAATTCCATCTTTTTTTTTTGCACCAGTTTGGGCTTTCCAGTCACACCTAAAGAGCTTATAAAGTTTGTCGTGAGAAAATCGATGATCTGTCTCAAAATTATGTGACAGTTTTAAAAAATATTTATAGATTACAAGCCAGTGTTTGACTTTGGACGGACACATAAGTTCTATAAATTTTTTCGACGATTGGCATAAATTACAGGTAGTATCAATTCCAAGTACTGTGACATTACTGTGAGTCTGCCATTTGAGATGCAGTGGTGTCTTTATTTTTCATCGTGGTGGCAGCAAGAAGCAGGACACTGTGTGTTTGAATGTATCACAATAATTGTGTTCAGAGTAACACCCTACTTAAAAGTTGTGCACAATTACTTCAAAGATGTCAAACAGCTTTTCCCTCCTTGGCATCAACTATAGACTCTTAGTTCTGACTTTCAGTACATTTGTGCTTCCTCCTCCCTGAAATGTGGTTAACCTAAAAAAAGCTGTTTGGTTCAGCCTAGGAGAGGAATTATAATTGGTTAAGCTTTTTAAACATACAATGGTTGTCTGTAAAGGTTCTCTGTGAACCTGGTCACTGTATTTCAATTATTGATCCAAAAAGCAACTGGACTAGACTGCAGTTGAAAACAAAAAAAAAATCAAAACCTGTTGCCTTTTTGGATCAAAAATGTTTTAAAAATCAGAATCTTAACTCAGTCCACACATTTTGTTTTCCACAGGATGAAAACATTACCTCAGTTTACCTCATTAAATGCCCCTAACTACAGACCACAGATGTCTTGTTGCTACACTATTTTTTGTTATGAGAGAGCACTGGAGCTGACAGTTTAAACATCTGAAATTTCTTCGTCTCTTATTGGTCATTCATGTCTTCATTCTGGCAGGTAGATTGTTTTGATATTCCTGATGCAGTGGAAAATCACAGAAACCAACAATGCCAGAGTTTGATGGACTGCAGAACCAAGGGGACCAGGTAAGATCCACTGTTTGTATGAGTATTTAAGTTCATGGATTGTTAACTTTGGTTGTTCTCCAACACAGCTGACAAAATTAATGAGTAACTGCCTCTCTTTGATAAAAAACGTATTTGTCAACATCCGAGCAAACCAGTATTATTGAATCCAAATAGCTTTGTTGATCATGTCATTATAATTTTTTAAATCTTTTTGTGATATTTGCATTATTAATATTATCATCCCATAAGTATGGTCTTTACAGAATACAGTTTTCACCAGCACCAGGTTTTATGGTTAATAATAAAGTTACATAATGAGAGTCAGCAGACAGGGTTGACCTTCGTATTGGTACCCTGATCAGTCCTGGAACAATCTATCTTTCGTGCACTTTACTGACAGGACAGAGTGGTCTTTGAGCTTACACAGTTATCTCTAGTTTACTTAGTTTTGGTCCAAATGGCTAAAAAAAAAAGGCAAAAATGAAGCCAAAGGGCCTGATCTACTAAAGGTTTGCGTGTATAAAAACACATGCAGACTTGAAAGCACACAAAGCTAATCTACTAACTGGGTGCACCAAGGATTGCGTCTGTCAAATGAGCAGAACAGCACGTGCAATCCATTTAGCGCCATTTGCCTTCATGAATATGTAGATCATGAGAATGTGCAAAACACTGGGAGGAGGAGAATGAAATGGAATTATTAAGCAATGTGATTTATTAAACCCTGAAACTGATTGCGGCCACTGTTTTGCGTCTAAATTTGGCACGTTTGAAAGGCACGTGCGAACTGGCACACTGTTACGCACAAATGGCTATGGCCACTTTGGGGAGAAGGACGCAAAAGTGCAGTGATAGACGATGGAGAGAAAGAGTCTTCCGTGCACGTGTCAACATATTTGGACTGTTAGAGATAAAAACAGTAGAGTAATAGTTATAGTCATGTTTTGTGTGTGAACTTGAATTACACTGGTCAAACATCAGAGCAAAGGTTTCTGGAATTGTTAACTTTGTTAGAGAATTGTGTTAGTGTAAGAATCGGTTATTAAGTTGACTGCTCAAAGACAACCAGAGAAGTCCTCAGGTTTCAGATTGTTAGAATAATGTGCATAAATGTATATAGAAGTTATCATCTTACTCAAATTCTTATGTAAGAGTTTGCTACAAGTATGAACTGTTTTAACCTCTTGTTACACGTCATATAAGAGTTTTTTCTAACTTCTCTCTCCAATAGCTTTATTACACAGCACATGAATGTTTCTTAACTTCTCTGTGACCTTGTTTCTCCTAGTAGCAGGTGTGTGTGTGTGTGTGTGTGTGTGTGATGGATCCTCCACTGTGAATCGTGGGAAGTAATGAGGAGGATCCGCTCCTATCAGAAGGAGCTCGTTTGATGCAACAATGTCGCCTTGACCCTCACATATTCTCTGTTGTTCATAATTATGCTTTATGAGAGTGCTTACGTTGCTGCACATATTTTTCCCCCATCCTTTAGTAATATTGTGTAACCAGGGACAACCCTAAATAAAGAGACTGGGCGGAAATACCTTTCAGAGTGGTTTTGAGATTGTACCTAAAACTATCTCTGTCAATTCTCCTCGAGTATATACCATTGTCTTTCTCTTCTTTATATGTTTTTAGTCAAATGTTGCAGGTTTTAGACCCAACACAGATAAACCTTTTATTATGGTTAAAGGTAGAGTAGAGGTAGGTCGGTAGAGTAATACACACTGGACTAGCAATCACACGGCTAGTATCTCCATCACAATGAGTGCCCATTTCCAGGTATCATTTCTGGGTATAATTCACATTTATCTTCTTGGGCAGGGATTGCCCTGGACAGAGGTTGGACTTATATGCAACCGAGTCTCATTGGCCAGGTATCTCCAAAGTGAACAGGCCAACCACTGTTCACTGTTCAATGTGCTATGAAATATGTGTTTGTTTTCTTGACCCTGAGGCTTGTAACTACTGTAGCAAACCTGTCCACAAGAACAGAGATCCTTATGGCTCATTAAGTTCCTCCTTATCAAGCAAGACGTCACACTCAAAGTACAAATCCAACGTTAGCAAAGTAAAACACAATTATAACATTAACGACATCACATTCATTGACATCATAATCACAATTTTCCAGTTAGTTATTGTTAGTAGTTGTCCTACCACATACTGTCATGCAAGACA